TGGGCACAGACGAACCTTTCCCTGAGCTCCAGCCTGCCCCTGCCCTGGGTGCTGTCCCTGTCCCTGTCCCAGAGATGCAGAGATCGGAGCTGCCGCCCCGGCGAGGTCTGACCACAGTCCAGGCTGAAGAGATGGAGTGCCTTCAGCCGCTCTGTGTGGCCTCTCCAGATCCCAGCCCTTTCCAGAAAGATCCGTTCAGGAATGTCTTTCTGCCCAGCTGTGCTCGGGAGCTCCGGAACAGTACGATGCTCTGAGAAGGCTCTGTGACCCAGCTGGCACTTGTCCACCCYATCCCGAGCTTATGGGACACCCATCTCAGTTTAAAACGTGCKGAGGAATCACATGAGTGTCCGCAGGAAACGAGGATTGCATTATCAGGGCYGCTCTTGCATCTCTGCCATAGTTAATAGTCATTGCCACTGGGTGTTTYCAGTGCCAAGGCAGTCCTTGAGCTGCGGGACCCGCAGTGATTGGCACAGCCATCAGTTGTGCAATTCTCTTTCTGAGGGCGCAGAAGTGCAATGAAGCAAAGTAGTGGGTCGGAGTTCTGAGCTGGCTTAAAATGTACCACTGACATGGCTAACAGAACAAACTCCTCTGAATATTTCTGGTCTTATGAATATTACTGGGATTACATAGATCCAATTCCAGTAGATGGAAGCAAGTTGAAGGTCAATAAATGTAAGTATTGTGGAGYASTAGGTGCTAATRTAGCACAGGGGAAATGTTGAATAGYTTGCCTCACTGACCTGGTTTTGKTTCCTTGAAYYGTGCCCGTGCATGGTTTGTGTGGATGGGTGTCTGCCTTCAGGCTGCCTAATTACTGGGCAGTWGGGCTGCCTAAACTTTGGGCTTTATCTTCCAGTACTTGAAGCTGTAAGACTGCTGACACTAACTCTTGCTTAGAGGGACAATTTTTTTGAGTCATTTGCTAAGGGGAAATTTGATGACTTGCACATCATTAGTGTGGGGTGCTGGTTACCTGTGTGCTAMTGTCACCAAAGTTCACTGGAAGAGCAGAGGTTTTCATAAAAATATTGTTTTCATCTTGGGACAAGGCTGACCTTGCAACTRGTAAACATTTGGAGCCCTAGTAAAAGAAATGTGTGTTTGCACTAGCCAGGAACAACGAGCTGCGAGCATATTCTTTTACCTCGCCTCCATTGATTTAGTGCTGCTAAATTAATGAAGTAATAATATCCAATATTGTGAAAATGCTTTACTGCCATGGAAACTGATTCTGCTGGGCTTTGCAGTTTATTTTCAAAGGATATGAAGCAGCATTCACCCAACTCACCTCACAATAGCTCGTTCCATTTCACACCTGGCTTTGCACAGTGAAACAGCAACGTCTTTTTATGGCTACTTGAAGTCCCAAATAATTTTGGTTTTTCTAAYGCAACTGCACTGGTTAGCTTTTGCTAAGATAAAATTACCAGTGGTGTCACGGTGGATGGTGGAGGGCGGTGGATGGACTGACAGAGACCAAGGAAGAGCAGGTAGGGTGTGCTGGAGTCACTTTTGCTCCAGACAGTGCTTTCCCTTGATTTCTGTCAAGCCTAACGCAAACACCAAGGGAAACAATTCCACAGCTGGTTAGGTTTTTTYCTTATTTTGAGCAAAAGCACCTGTCAAGCAGTAAATATACTTTGCAAGTTTTTTTGTCTTTGCGTAATATTTACATTCTTATACCTTGAAAATCCACGGTTGGGATTACTGGCTTCATGTGCTCAGGGCCATTGCTGGGGCAGCCCAAGGGCATCGTGCAGTTGCTGTAACCCTGGGATCTGATTGCAGTTCCCTAATTCAATTTTGCCTGTTAGGGTATTTTTATTTATKTAATGTGAAACAGAGACCTGAATCTTTGCATTTCTTTTCCTCTGTTATGTGGCTGGTTCCTGAAACTTTGTGAGACCGAATTTGTCTCATGAGAATGACTCTAAACCCAGATAAAAAAGCATGGTCTTGCTTTCTATTACTAATGTCGTGCATCTCTCTCCATTTTGTACAAAAACAATGAAAAATCTTAATTGGCCCATRAACTAATAGGCATTTAAAAACATGCACACACACATGCACAAAAGGTGATGGTAATTTAGCAATAAGAAGCTTTTTATAGATTGCTAAAATATGTTATTCCAGTTTAAAATTAAAACCTCATTGCATAGTTTAAACCCAGGAAATTTTGGTTCAAGCTCCACCTCAGACCTGGTACAAATTTATTTAGCKTCAGTGAATTCCATGAAATGTATTAAAACTGTTTTTAAAAGATGAAACCAAAATAGCTCCAATAGGGAATTCTTTAAATCCAAACTCTTCTGACCCAAYGGCTTGGAACCTTTCAAAACTTTGGGCTTTTCAAAATGTCCCTGGCCCATAAGTTTGCTTTTTGGAGCTGTGGTTGGCCAGTAGCACCCTGCTGCATTTTCCCATAGTGAGTTTGGGAAGTGCAGGTCAGAATGTCAGGCTTCATGTGCTAATTCAGCATTGTCTGAACTAAAGCTCATTGAAACTTTCTTTAACAGAGGAGGAACAGAATAAGCTGCCCCTCCCCGTTGATATTTCTCAGTAGCCAAAACTCAGGTTTCAGATAAGGGTAAAGCCAGGGCAGCTCTAGCTTTGGGTTTAAAAGGAGCTGGGCTAATTCTCTTAATCTCATTGTGGCTTTGATGCCAACACATACTGAACTTTTTCACAAAGAAACACTCAATCAAACGTATTGGACCTGTTTCAAGGAACACAATGTTTTCTGTCCTTTCAGAGAGAAGATTTATTTTCTCTCGGTCAATATTTGTCTCTGGAGTCAGTGACCCTTCTTTTTCACCTCATCCCAAGTGAGTCACCGGCTGTGAATCCAGGGTTTCCTGCACTGTGGTTGTGGAAAAGGAACCATATTGAAACATCTGCACAGTTCTGGTCACCAGAACCCTCTCCACAGGCTTTTCCCAACCCTCCCTYATCCCTACAGTTACCATAAACTGTTAGAAGACTCCTAAGACCTTTAACAAATGGGCACTCAGATTCCTCTCTCTAAAAAGAGCTGTTGAATTTATCACATGGCATACCTTTATTAAGAAGATGAGCCACCTTCTGTGTTTCATTTTTGCCGTGGTAGCAGTGACAGAATTCCTGTGCTGTGTCYACAGACTCCATCGTCATTGCCTTTTGGGTCGGCCTGGCTGCATTCGTGACGTTTCTTTTCCTTGTTTTGCTGTGCATGTCCTGCTCCGGATCAACCTCAGCAAAGTGAGTACAAGCAGAGATAAAGCAGACACTGGTGGGAAGAAAATAACCTGCACCAAACATGCAGTGCCTCGAGTGATCCAGCAATGACGTACAACGTTTAGGACTGCACACAGGTGATCCTTTTTCTCTCAGGATTTGCTTGGATTGTCCCTTGAGCCACCGCTCCTCCTTATCTGATCTGGATGCAGAAAATTCAGCTCAGCATGCTGGGCAGAGATTCAGGATTAGGTCACAAGAGGCAGAGGGAAACAGCAGTGAAAAGGAGCACTAATATTCTCATTTCTTGGCACCCTAGGGCCTCTGGCATGCTCACAGAAGGTAACAACAATAAAAAAAAAGGCAGCTTACCCAAATAACACACCAAGAGTAGGACTAAACAAAACAACAGACCTGTAGGAAATGGACATGAAAGGGTAACAGAGGCGTATTCCCAGACATTTACTGTTCCTAAAAAACTGGCAGGAGAAGTCTGTTTATATGAAAATCTCAGAGTGTTTGGAAGACTTAAACAAAACCTTGATTTTAATTTTTTTTTTCCACTTTTTAATCATGTCACTGAGCAAAATACTTGGCTTAAAAATACACGTTTATCCCTGACACATTCAATTCTGGCCATCAAAGGAGCCACTGGGAACAAGGCAAGTCTAGAAATGTTTTCTGGCATGCCCAGAAATCATTAATGAAAAACAGTGTTCAATGAGATTTGTTTAAGCTTTGAAACCATCCTATCTTATCCTTTTTCTAGGCTTGAAACATACTGTAAGAAAACTATTTTAGGACTGAAGAAACTAGTAAATCCAGTCACACACAAAACTTGTCTTTTTTGATTGTTTTTTAAGCCCCACTTCAATTCCACTTCTCCCAATTCCAGCACCAATTCCCAGTGAAAGAAGCCACTGCTGTAAACTCACACCCCCCTGCCCTGTCCCCCTCTCTGTTGTGTCACCCACCCACCACCCTTGGCATGACAATCCTCCAATTTCTGTATGGAAAGCTCGTGTCTCTTTTCCTCTGAGAATTCTGCTGCACTCACCCAGCCAATGCACGCTCACGTCACTGGTCAAGGCTGGAGAACTTTTACCTTCAGCCTTTCTGTGCTCATCCATCTGGGCCAACCCGTGTGCTCTCCCAGCTGATCTGGATCCTGGGGAGAGGGGGCAGCTGCTCTGGGCACCCCGTGCCAGGGTCTGCCCTTCCTCCAGGGAACAATTCCTGCCCAAGATCCCATCTAAATGCACCCTCTGKCAGTGTGACCCCATTCCCTGTGTCCTGACCCTCTATCCCTTGTCTCCAGTCCCTCTCCAGCTCTCCTGGAGCCCCTTCAGGCCCCAAAAGGGGCTCTGAGCTGTCCCTGGACCCTTCCCTTCTCCAGGTGAGCCCCCCCAGCTCTCCCAGCCCGGCTCCAGAGGCTCCATCCCTTGCAGCAGCTCCGGGTTCTGCTCTGAACTCTCTCAGCAGCTCCAGCTCCTTCTGCTGTTGGCCCCAGGGCTGGGGCAGCTCTGCAGGTGAGATCTCCCCTTAACCGGAGAGGGGCAGAACCCCCCTCTTCCCTGGCAGAATTCCATCCCCTTCCCCCTTTTGATGTAGCATTGATGCAATTTTGGCTGCGTATGACACTCCTCTCTTCCCTCGCTGTGTGACACCAAGGGTTTTTACTGTCTTGGCCCCTCCACAGCTGAGTCTGCTGCTTCTCTGCACATCTGCACAGGAACAAGGCACTGGCAAAGTGTCTTCCAAAAAGCCTCTGCAAACACTCGGTTTCCTTTGCCACAGTTTAATCTTACAACACTGGGAGGGCCTGAATCCGTGGTGGGATTGCACCACACACTTCTCTGCAATACCAATAATTTGGTGCCAGGTTTGATGGGTGAGTTTGGGAGGGGGGAAGGCTGATGGCTGCACAGCCCTGCAGGGAGGAATCCATGGCCGAGCCCCTTTTGCACCACTGCACTGTCCCACAGAAATGAGACAAAGGGGCTGGGCCGTGGGACCGATGATTTCAAACACAGTAGCCTGCCAAGGCAGCTGATGATCACACTGCTGGGGTCAAGAGCATTAACCTTTGCTTCAATGATGTGTCTTCACAGCCAAAATGATACAGAAAAGTAAGGCTTTGTGGCCTGAGATGGTTCCTGGCCACGGCTGGAGCTTCACACAGTGGCAGGAGGACAGGACAGGGTGAGCTCCTGCATTTCACTGGAGGCTGTGCATTTCCCCACAGCCCTGCACAGTGCAAATCTGGTGCCTCTCTCTGTCCTGCCAGACGGTGTAATGCTGGAGAAACAGCACAGCTGGTGCCCAGGGAGTTGGAAGGTCTGGCATGTCTCATCCCTCACCCGTGTTTCTTGCTCTTGGAGAGGCTCAGTCCAGGGCTCCCTGCTGGCTCCAGACCCATCTCTCCCAGTAAGAAACTCCATTCAGTATTTGGATGTGGTGCATGATCACCCAGCAGTAAATTACAGCTCTGCAGCTGCCTTCATCCTTCCAATCACGCTTCCCTCAAAAAATGACCTCAGACATTTGTCACTTGCCTTTGCCTAACCCCTCAGAGTCCACAATCAGCTTCCTTGTGCTTCAGAAGGCTTTTCAGTTGTGTCTTACTTTAGTTGGGTGATTTTGCTGGGCTGGGGGCAGCCACAGCACTCAGAGTGACCCAGCTTGACCAGGTCTCTGTGGGTGCTGGGACATTGGAACTCCTCCAGCCTCCTCCCAGCTCCTGCTGTTCCAGGGGTGGTTCACAAATAACAAAGCTGGCCTGAGTTCTCCCCGACAGTCCCCAGGTCTCTGGGGTCAACTTCTCCAGCTGATTTTCAAATAGGTTAGCTAGCTGGTGCTATTTAGCTACTTGATAGACTGGAAAGAAAACATCCATTCAGTTTTGGTGAGAGTTTCTGTCAAACAAAGAGGGGAGATGTCTTGAATACACCTGCAGCATAGCAAAGAAAATGCCAAACCTGCCCACATGTGCTGGGCCTGTTGCTGAGACTTTGGGGCTTTGTTTCTGCTTTTTGAATTATCATTATGCAAAATCCCAGTTGAGTTAGCCTTGTCAGGCACAGATACTTTAAGCTTTCATTAGCAATTAATATGAATTTTAAGTTACAACGTTTGTATTTTTCCTTCTCCCAAGTATTAAAAATAACTATTTTCCTTTTCATCCCATTTACTTTACCTTGCTTCTTAGATTTTGGTTGTTAGGTTTGTGTCAGCCACTGAAACACTGGCTTTTAGTGCAAGATGTCTTGGACTTTTAATCCAAAATGTCTCCTTTCTCCTCTCTGAAGCCACAGCTCCAGGACATTAATAGCACTTTTCAAAATGTTTCCATTTCCATTCTCACTTTTGGGTAACATTTTTCTTCCCAATGCAATTTTCCTCCTGACGTTTGAAACCTTAAGGATACAGCAGTAGCTGAGATCTTGTCTTCAGCCCTGTTACAYGGAATTTATTGCTTCTAGGCCAGGACTCATGTGCCATGTATTCTCCAAGGATGAAGCTTGGGAAGCTTGGGAAGAGGGCTCAGGGAGGAGGCAGGAGCGTGCTGCTCTGATGCCATCCCTSCACCCCAGCACCAGCTTGTTTTTCTGCACAACCAAACCTCTTTGTGCTACTGTTCACACACATTAACTCTCCTTCTGCCCTGCTCCTATCTGCTCCTTTTGAGGTCTGTCCCATTTCCTTGCTCAGTGCCCCACCAGCCCTCAGAGCTGTGTCCCAGCCCCAGAATTAGGCAGTCTCTGCCAAATAACCCACATCCCTCTTGTTCTTGCCCTCAGTGACCCCCGTTCAGTCTCGGGAAGCTTTTATCCCTTTTTCCCAGGAGCAGCTGTGACAATTCCCTTCACCCTTGGTACAGAGCAAGTCATAGCAAGGTTTCCAGTTTCCTCTCCAAAAATCCAGCTCAAGAACTGAGTGAAGGTCCCATCTTGAGGGGGAAAGGGGAGTCCTGTGAGCCTCAGCTCACACCCTTCCTGTTGGCCATACTCTATTTTCACCATGGTTCTCATGGTGGATTAAGAGGGCTGAAGTCCACAAGCATTATCTTTTGTGTTAGAAGCAGCATATTCTGTRTTTTTGAAAACTTGGATAATGTACTTACTGTAGAGCTTGACTGCTTGTCTTCCAAAAGCCTGTCCTGACAGGTGTCCTTTTTTCTGTCCACATTCCAGACAAGTGGCTGTTGGGAGCCAGGTAGAAGAAAGCAGTTCCAATGGGGAACAGCCTCACTGCGATGAGCTCAGGAGCTCCTACTCAGAGGTGGCTCCTTAAACACTTACCTCCCTTTTGGATGGACCAGACATTGCTGGAAGGATCTGAGCCTGAGGTAAAACTGGAAGAGGTGAAATGAACCCTGCACTGTTCCTGCAGCTGCAGGAGCTGTGACTGCCTGTCCAACACCAACACTGCAAACCTGCAGTCAGGAGAAGAAAAGTGCCTTTCAACAAAGGACAAACCTGCAAAATCCTGGAAGAGTCAAAGTCCTAATGGCCATATTGGAACAATGCTGTTCAGTGTGTTCCTCGAGGAGAGAACATGCCATTCATCTGCTTTTGAAAAATGAAATTCATTTCCAATTATTTGAAACTTGAGAAGCTTAGAAACTCCACCTCGCCAGGCAGACAGCAAAAACTCCTCCAGGGAAACACGGCCAGAGCAGCTTCGTGCTGCATCCAGGGAGCGTGGGCAGAGAGGGGTCAGCTCTGCATTGCCTGCTGGCCCAGCACCCTCCTCCCTGACTCCAACAACACTGGCATCACCCTGTTGTTCAAGATCCTCTTCTACACACATGGATTTAAAGGGTATTTCTGGAAGATGTGAATATTCCCAYTCAYGACAAACTCGATTTCTGGGTTACAYAGAAACATGGCTCAGAGCACATAACCATCGAAGACCTTTTATTTTGTTCCTTTCCAATTACCTGAATTTACAGCATGAAGTATGTAACCACTAATAAATACTGAGCAAAACAAAGGCTGGCTTACAGCACCTGAGTGGGGACAGGGGAGTGGGACTGAGCACTGCATCTCCTCCCTTATGAATCCACTTCAAGGCCTCCCCAGTGCTTTGCTCTGCACAGGAAGCACTTTATTTCCCTTTCCCCAGACTCCCCCATCTGAATCAGAGAATCATGGAATTGTTTAGGATAGAAAAGCCCTCTAAGATCAAACCAAACAGTTCCACTGACACTGCCAAGGCCACCACTAACCCCTGTTCCCAAATGCCAGATCCACAGGGCTTTTAAATCCCTCCCGTCCTTGAGTTGGAGAGATGCTCTTACCTCATTTCTTTGATTCTTCCAAGCAAATCATACTGTAAGTCACTATTAGGTGTGCTTAGGCCCTTGAGACAGCTGAAAAATTCCTTCCCTTTGTGTCACAAGCATTATCTTTAACAGGTGAGGTAGAAAGATATTTCTTGTTTTGGAACTCCTTTRGTTTTCTTGTGCCTGTTTGATTTTTAATCAAGAAAAGTACATGTTTTTCATCACACAGATTTCCTGATGTCAGCCCCTAGGAATTCTACACAACACAAAATGTAGCCTCTAAGAGGCTTACAGCTTATTTTAAGCAATACTATTTTTAASTCAAGTCTTGCTACAGAGCTGATGGCTCCTTTTTTATTTATCATTATYTTTTATCATTTTATTTACACCCCTCCCAAAAAAAATTCAAGACATACCAGAAAGAATGTGCAGTTCTGATTTTTCCCTGTATGGGATTTGTACAAAGGAGCTGGGCACAGCACACAGTCGTGAGTCAATTTAATAAATCCTGGTTTACCTTCCAAAGGGTCATGTTCTGGCACTGCATGTTTGCAGATCTGGACTGGCATGTTCAACCCCCCTCAAGGCCACATTCATGAACCACTTATCAGACCTCACAGAGAATTCCCAATAAAACTCACATGTAATCAAAGAGCAGCAAATCCTTTGGGGTTTAGTTCCATCTCTCACCTGTTCAAATGGAGGGAAGATGGCCCTTCGTTGCACATTGTAGCAGCAGTGATAGGTCAGGGCTTTTTTTTGTTTTAATTAAAAAAAAAGGGGGGTAATAAAAACAGACCAGCTCTGATATAAGTGTTTTAAAAAGCCATTTAATTTAAGGCCAAGAAGAATCCCAGATATCATGATTCCACAGCTCAGTCTTCCATTCATACTGGTTTTGGCATCATGAAATCAAACAAGTTCTTCAAGAAATAGTAAATCATCATGACTAAACCTCTGGCTCCTCATTATTTGCACTTACACCACATTGTGGGAAGCTCTGCAGCCTTTTTTTCCCATCCTATATTGAGAGAGGATGGATTTTAACAACACACACATGGACATGAACAGTCTTTCTGGTTCTTCAAGAAGTTAAAAACGTCTCTAATAAAAATGATAGAAATGATACTGAGTCCCAGACTGTTCAAGAAAAGGGAAATTGGAGCTTTAATGTCCCACTGAGAGATGTTGAATAAAATCTTCCCCGAGTTTGCACAGAGTAATAAAGTGTTGATCTTTATGACCAAACCAGTTAGGTCCMCATGAGAACAGCTCAGGAGGCTTTCACGGCTGACAACGATGGCAGAACACAGAACATTAAAGGTGAAGTGTTAGCTCCCTGAATTAATGCCCTGATGTAGCCAAATTTTTTTGCAAAGAGACACAATAGTTTCTTCTCCTTGCTTCTGAGTTTCCAAGTCATGTTGTAATTCACAGCCTGCACTAGTGCAGACCAATCTGACATGGGTAAGTAACATCTCGGGCTCCTGTGCTCCAAGCCACATGTCCCCGACGTAAAGGGAGGTCAAGAATACAAAATCAGCTGTGGAAGAAATGAGAGAAAAATCAGAAGAGATATTCTTCTATTCCCACACAGTAATGCCAAACCAAGCCATTTACCTCCAGGCCTATGTAAATGGAAATTCTGCAAAGCCAATGATCCTTCTGACAAGAAGGAACAAACCAGTTTCCTGTTAAATAAAACAGTTTGAAATCTGACCTGTCAGATGCTATCAYTGACCAGCAAATGGATCAGCATCCAGGCCCASATRGACTCGTTTGKTGTAGACYATTTTCCCCCTTGAAATTACTYTTTTTTARTAATTTTTGTTCCRTTTTAGTCCTTGGAAGGGAAGTTTYTTTGTGTGAGTGTTGTAGTGTCAGAAAAGCCTGGTGTGACTRTGCTCTGTGCTGCCCACCCCTGACCCCATCCCAAAGACACAGCTTCTGCTTTGGGAAGCTACGAGCCGGGGTGGATATAGGAAAACTAGTTGAATAGATTGAAAAAGCCATGGAATTTCCTACCTCCACCCACCACTGCCCTGCACTATGGCTGGTAAGTACAAGACCATCACCTGTCTTGCTCACATCCTCTTCTGCAGCTGCTGCGGGGCACAGGGATTTCACAAACCCGTGGAAGGTGCCAGCCAGGCCCTGCTCCTCCAGGAGCTGCAGCATGATGGAGCTGAGCACATGGAGCTCTCTGCAGAGCCCAGCTGAGCTGCTGCTGGCCTGGCAGAGCCGCGTGTAGAGCTTAAAGAGGCTGTTCCTGAGCGCCCCATCCCCGAGCACGTCCCGCACGGCCCTGGGCTGGGACAGGACGTGGCTCTGCAGCCACYGCAGCACCGGGGACACCTCCTGCTCCCTGAGGAGCCTCTGCTCAGCCAGGGACCTCAGCAGGCACTTGGTGACAATGTGGGTGGATGCGCAGGTGACAGCCATGGCTTCATCCCCGTCGCTGGGGCTGAGGGTGTCCCCTCCCTGTCTGGAGGGTGGCGCTGGGAAAGGGGGCTCCCAATGGRCAAGTACAGAATTGAGAAGATCTCTGCATTTCTCCAGCTCAGACACGTCCACGTCTGCAGCAGTTTCATCTTCTTCCACCTCATTTTTTTTCCGAGTGTGACGATACACGTAAGATGAGGCTTGAGGTTTGTTCTTGTCTTTAATATTTTCTGTAAGAAGAAAACCACCACCAAAACAAACATCAGATACTCGGAAGGATTCTCCTGACACAAAATGGTGCAAGAAAGGTGCTCTCCTGTGGTGACTGAGTTGTTCAAATGGTAAGCAGCAGGCTCGCTCAGCAGCCTGGTGGAGCTGTCAGAGGGGCTCAGGGAGCTCCAGGGACTCTGTTCCAACCCGGATCACCCAGGCTGGATGTGAGAGACGCCCCCGAGGCTTGGAGCAACACAACCCACACTAAAGTCACAGGCATCASTGCAAGAACTCTCTGCATGTCTTTCTGAGGAGTTTTAAAGGGTGAGAAAAACTGCATAAATGCTAAAGCTTTCACAGTATCCCTTCAATACAGATACTTTCTCAGCTGATGCAGAACATTTAAACAAACCTACACAAGCTATAATGTGCACCAAAAGATGTTGCTGCTGCAGGAAACCAGTGTTGTTTTAAGACCTCTCACTCCCAAGTTCCTTGCACTTTTGCTCACACAGAGAACAAGAGAAGTCACACAAATCCTGATGTATTTTTCCCTTCATCAAACACTRATGACAACTAGAAAAATCAACTATTTAATTTTCACCTGCTTTATTTATTTATTGTTTTTCCTCACTATCACTTTCAGATCCCCATCCACACTCAGAATGATTCAAACATTTGAGCACCAAGCCTCCAGGCACTGCTTTTTCTTTTAATATTTCATTAAAGAATACCATTCTTCAAAGCCTGACACCAGATTTGCAACTAAGTTTCATTTTAAAGCTCTTTCCCTTTTTATACTGCATTTCTCCAAAGCTTCCAAATTGTGTTAAGATTAATCTGAAAAATGGCTTTCCATTTCCCTTCCTTCTCCCTCAAGCTACATCAGTCTGGCAGAAGTTGTAAGCACCATTTCCAGAGAAGTTTGCCTCGCTGGCACTGTTGGGTTTGTAACTGCTGCAAAAAATCCGCCTTCCTTGAAGTATTTGAGCACTTACTGAGCAGTTCTTTGTTTTGGAACTTGTGAGCCAGGGCCTGCAGGTCCTCCTGCAGCTGCAGGTCTCTGCTGACAAAGCTCCACTTGTGCAGCAGCAGCAGCACATCCCTGCTGGACAGGACAGTGGCATTGAGCGTGAACCTCCCCAGCTCCCGGAACGCCTCCAGCACCGCAGCGCGATAGCGCAGCACAGAACYGAGAGTGCCCAGCAGCTCCCTCAGCCTGGACACATCCACGTTGGTCCTGCCCAAAGAAAACACAGGCGCCGTGCATTTTCCTATTTTGCATGCTAATTAATAAAGTGAGCACAGATTTTAATCTTTAGTGCCAGAATGGCCAGGAATTAAGGGTGTAGGACTCGACAGCAACTGTGCATCTTATTTTACTTTGTTCCTCATGTATTCAAACACTTAAACCCTCCTGACAAAGAAATCTCATCCAAATTCACTACTCAACATCCAGCTGAAGGTGCATTCATCTACCAGCAACAAAGAAATTCCTCTGGCCTTAAAAATGTTTAAACTGCACAGAGGACAAAATGCAAACTGACTAAAATAAAAAGAAAACAAAAACAAAACAACCCAAAGGACTTACCGAATATGTTTGATTAACATGACCAAAACATACAGAAACTCATTTACAAGCTGAATAGGAAGAAGTTTTCTCTTCTCCTGGGATTGATTCTTGTTTTCTTGCTTGTCCCCTAAATTTGTTAGCCACAGAGTATGGAGTAAGGAAATAATTTTATTTATCACCTTGTTTTCCAGAAACCTGAAAAACAAAACAAAAGAAAACAAAACAAAACTTTTTAAAAAAAAAACAAAAGGAAAAGCACATTTGGAAGGCAGATCCTCACCAGGAGCTGGTCCATCACCTCAGGGGGTCATATTCTAGTGTGCTTCAGGTGCACTTGCCTGAACTGTCAGGGCATTCTGTGCAGAAGAGATTCTGTGTGTGTGAATCTGTGTGAGGGAGAAGGAAGGGGACAAGGAATATTCTTGACAGCTCAAATCCATTACTGTGGCACTTCCAGTGCAGCGGGTCCTGTGACAAGATGCCAACTGAAGGTGTTTGAAATTTAAAAGGTACAGACACCARAATAAGATGCCATTTTGCTTTCTTTCCAAGGAAGTGTTTTCCAAACCATGAAGCCCCACCCCAAAATCCCTCCTACCACAATTGGAAAGCATCTTGATCCTATTTCCAAAAACACAAGCGACACCTCAGAGTGTTCAGCAAGTTCTGCCAGYGCAGCCCTGGGCACTCCTGACTGTCTCCTTGTCTGTCACCTTTGTTTTCATACTCAGTCACATAATTATTCTCCTGTGGACAGTAAAATTGTTCCCATTTCTCCTGTGCTTCTCTGGTTACCTTTTCTCTAAGCTGTGCAGGACCCATGTGAGGAGGCTGTGATCCTGTATCAGCTCATAGGCAGCTCTGGTGACACGGGCAGCACTTTGTAATATCTCCAGAATACGRCTCTGAAACAGAAAATAGAATTTGTTCTTTTTACAGAACCAGAAATAGTCAGGATCTAATTATCAAACTAGAAAGTATCAATCTGACTGGTATCTGATCAACTTCAAGGTAAAATGAACAGCGCCTGTTCTCAGCAACCCCAGGGAAGAAAAAACATTCTCCTTTCAAGCTTCATAGCACAGGCACTACTCTTACAAGRAGTCTTCAGGGAGCAAGACAATTTTATTTTTGTCCAAGGTTTTGCTGCCTGAAATACTCAGAGTGGATGCCCCCAAAGCTGAGAGCTCTTGGCATGTGAATTTCCCTCCTGCTGAAGCAAACCCAGCTATGCTTGCTAGGGAATAGAGATCCCAAAAAATGCAAAGGCCCGACTGCAGGAGCAAAACCACAGTCCCCACAGCAGACTCTGTGATGGCAGAAACCTGCTCCAGTTTCAGGGGATAAGGATGCACCCAGTTTAGTCACACAAAATCAACAAGGAACAGATTTTCAAGAGGTCAAGGGTAGAGTCAGCTGCTCCTCTCTGCTTTGTACTTGAGATCTCCAAGACATGCAAACTTCTGTGGTTTGGGATTTTGRTGGTTTCCTTTAAAACTCTTACCTGGGAGCCCTCATCACACAGAGGACTGTGGAAAAAGGAAAGAATGACCTGGAAAATCCTCTGGTAGTCATAAAGCTCATAGCAATGCTTGTCACGCAGCCCTTCCCCAAGAAATCTGAGGATCCACTGACGCTCTGTTTTGTACTGGAAGCCACAAAGAAAAATACCACCCCATCAGACATTTAGACATTTCCAAATAACACCTGCTCCCAAGAGCACAAACCCGGGCTCCCTGTGAGTGCCAGCTCAGGCCTTACCACAGCCTGTTCTGGACTTCCCAATTTCCATTCCTATCACATTTAATCCTAACAGCCATCAAGGACAGGCAGTCTGCAGCCCAAACATGTGGTGGAAATGGAATTATAAAAGTTGCCTTTCCTAAAATACTTCATCTGAACTCAATGTTACTAATCTAAACTCAAATATGAATGTAAGTTACCTGGGGCAGAATATTCTTTTTTTATTGTGCTCACAAAGCACACACAGCACAACTCATTATGTGTTAGTATTAAGAAAACAACAAAAACCTCACAGAAATATCATTTTCTATTCCAATATGAAACAAATTAACCTCTAATTAACCACCCATGGGAGAATGAGATTTCATTGTATTTTTATGGCTTTTTTTCTATAAATTTCTGAAGAATTACTGGATACCTAAAATGGGACTCTTACCTCRAAATCAAAACTGTAGAAAAGCTGGAAAAAGCCTGGTACTTTCCTCAGGTCCAAATACTGGTGCGTCAGAAGGAATCTGTTTACCTTTATATACATGTGCTCCTCTGCGAAGATAAAAAGCTGTTAGGGTGGAGGAGGACAACGTTCCACATCCAGAAGCACAGAGATAATAAACAGATCTGCACTGTGCCGTGCTCCACGCTGGAGAACAGCCCAGCAACCAAGGAGGCCTTTGCTCTGAGGCTCATTCATTGGTGCCCATCCCTCCCCCTCTCTTGCCCAGAATGAAAAGCTCAGTCAAAAGCAGATGAGCACAAAGCAGGAGAGGAGATCACCACTGCCCAGGGCTCTGCTSTGCAGCCAGCAGGGACACGCAGAGAAGGTTCCAGTACCTGGCTTCAGGATCTGCTGTGCCACACGAGCAATGTAGAGCGTSAGGGAGAAGGTGAACCTGAGGTTTGGCTGCCTGATTCCATTCTGCACAGTATCCAAGAGATACAGCAACTGCAAGAGCCCAGGGAGAGAAGCCAAGTGTACACAACAGGAGCATGAATACATAAATCAGCTTCTGGGACATTTCACAGGCCATAGGTCAAATATCAATTCCATCAGGATTTCCATTCMTGCAAACAAAATTCCTAAGAATTTCTAAAACACATTTTCCACTTTCTCTGTCCATTGATTATAACAGGAGGAAACAAAGCAATAGAGGAGAAACAATGGTAGGGAGGATGAAAAGYTTATTTTATGTCCATGACCTGCAAGGTGTCACCTGCCAAAGTGGCAAAGGGGCYGAGCCTTACCTGGCTCTTCTCTCGGAAGCGAGCCCCTTCCAGATGGGAGCGGAACGAAGCCAGCACGAAATAAGCAGCTGCTCTCATGTTGGAGTCATAGCTGCTCAGGGCAGCCACTGTGAGCCCCAGGGCATTGACTTCCACAAACTTGTGACAAGCCACCACACACTCTGTGAGGAACAGGGAAAAGAGACAGAAGCAGTGTGTCAGTACTGACAGCACCGTACTCCTTCACATTTCTGCTCATCAGCACCCATTTCCAGCTCCACCCCAACAACTACCACCTCAGTGCATGCTGARGGCTCTTCCAGCTGACAAAGGGCTTCAGCAAATCACTCTGAACTGAATTCTTYACCTGAGCTGAAATTCATGGGGTGTTCTCACACATGTGAGACAGAAGATCCTGCCTCCTAGGCCATGCAAAGCTAGGGGGAAATTCTGTAAGGACATCCTGTCCCTCACTCTTTCAGGAAAGTTGATTACAAAGAACAATAGTGAAAACATCCTCTCTCCAGGGCATTTGTGGGTGCCTGGAAGGCCAGCACTGAAAAGCTTCTGYAATAGAARGGGCAGGAGAACAACACATAGGTGRCCCATAAACCACAGCCATTGTCCCTGTGCAGGCAGAAGTGACTCYGTGGGTAAAGCCTGTTCTGAGCCAAGCACTCAGCTGTATCCTCGAGCACTTCTGGGAAAAACAAAACCGTGCAATGACCAGAAATCAGCCCAACAGAAAACAGGAAACACACATTTCCACGTAGCATTTATCTCCACAGCATTTTGGCATCAGGATTTGGAGTTTCTCCTTTAAAGAATGAGTGTTTTGATGAGTTTGTTCCATTTCTACCCACTGATGGTTACAAATGATGTGGTGAGAAACCTCCACCTTATCTCCAGGAATGAAGTACAATGGCACCTCAGTGGTGTTTTACCAGCTACAAATGTACTCTGAGTTTAGAAATAAAATTCATGTATTTTCTTGTCATACTGAAGGTCAAGAGGAAGTTTCTAGGAACAAATATTCCTCTTTAAGAAGGGGCTGCAGTTTTACTGCCAAGTACTTACATTTGGTCCACTGATTCCCTCCCCATCACTGCCTGCACAAACGTATATATATCTAATGTATACATAAAAAGAACTACGTAAAATAATCACACATTATTTCTGTCCCTGCACCAGCACTTTTTCTCAACTGCTAGAACTTCTAAAACTCAATTCCATGCCTGGCAGTTTCTTACCCAGCTCTGCTGGTTACAGACCAGGTAAAGCAGGGTCTCCACTTCCCCACAGCCACTGCCATTTGGCCCAAAGTCACCACTCTGCTCTCTTAAGGTTAAAGCTCTGGGGAACTGCTTAYATGCACCAACCATTCACACCGTGGAGCAGTGCCACAGAATGAAATCCAAGGCTCTCACTTCAGCAGTCCACAGGAGATTGAYTGGAAAAGTTTTTTCCCACTGAAAATAAGTGGTGTTAATATTTTCCATCTTGCTGACCCTGGAGAGTGCATTCAACATCAAACATGAAGTAACACACTGTTCTAAAAAACCCTATTTAATTCTATGTCTGACATACAAGTTATTTAAAGGACCTTGAACAGCATGATGGAAAAGCTTTCCACAAGATGAATCAAAGCTAATGGTAGACAGAACTTGCTCTCTGCCCAATTCCTCAGCAAGCATTAAACACGGTGCAAGAAGTCCATGTTTACAAATCCAGAGGGCACTGAGCAGCCAGTACAAACAGCAAATAAATAAAGAACTGGGAATTCCAAGGGCAGTYGACATGGTTTACAAGCACCATGGGACTTGGACTTATAAATCAYTTTAAAAATGCCCTTAGGACACAGACTCTCTGTGTGGAGTAGCTAAGGGGGCTATTTTCCTCCTCTGCAGGTTCAGATTCGGGATAGGCACTGTCTTTCCACTTCCACAAGAACACGATGAGCAGCAGCTCCCTCAGCCTTGGTGCTTCCCACATTAGCAGTCCCCACTGGCTGCTGAGCTGCCACAGACACCAAATCCCTCCCTCCACGGGCKGGGTGGTGCTGGCAGAGTGCTCTTTTTCCAGCTTTCAGCACCACATTTCAAAGACACCAGCAGTCCACACTCTTCATCCCTGTGCTCCTCAAAGGCCCAGCATTACCTGGATTGTCTAAGACCCCTCCAGCTGCAAAATGTCAAATAGCTCTGGTACCTTTTCTCCTCAGAAGACATAAAGACAGCTCTTTTTCCTGCTGCCAGGATTATACAGAGCAGTTGAAAGCATAGCTAAGGACACRCTAAGCACACCCACTGAGGTGCTGTACCTGCAGGGGTCTGGGTGAACAATGGACTGTGAGTGTGATTTCACTGACAGATGCTAACAGCCTGCTGATGGCTTCTGGTATTATTGCTGTGGAAAGCCAAATCTAGCTGTAACTGCACAGAGCTTAACCACAGGGAACACAGGGAGAGAGCTGGTCAGGAAATCCCTTGGCATTTTGTCTCCCTTTGATCACTGAGGGCCCTCTCCAGGGACAGTATGGCTGTGGAGCACAGCAGGGATGTGCATGTGCAGGGCATGTCCTGTCAGACACGAAGCTTGCTGACAGCTCAGAGCAGCAGCCCAKTGGTGACACACACCGGAGCCTCTGGCTGCTGCAAAGTCACTTAGCAGTGAACTTTCTGTGTTCTGTAACCACAGCCTGGAACAGGTCACATCTCCAATTAATTCAGTCACAGCCCTCACAGTAGTTTGTTTATTCCCTCTAAAGTCAGGCACAAACTCCTTGCTGTATTAGCTCTTGGATCAGGGATAACAGAGCTCCAACCTGCCACTAARTACCAAAGAGAAACACTGGCTGTACCTGGTCTGGTCAGTTCACTGAAGAGCTGAAGCAGAAAACAAGGATCATAGAAGTCATCCAGGCTCTTGACTGTTTCATCCYTGTATAGTGACTTTTCTATCCCCTGAAACCAAATCCAAACAAGAATTGGTACAGAACACMACCAATTTCAAACTTGGTTTCAAACTTCCCCAACCACCTCATCCCATTATAAACCACTTGATACTACACCTTGTAAAATACGATGGAACACAGGGTGCTTGTGTTTAAACCCGGATTTCATGATCAGGGTATATCYACAACTATTTCCCTGAGCAGCACCGACAGTAGAATGTCAGCAAGCTGTAAGAAAGGCTGGAGAGCCCATTGCCAGCAGATGCTCAGGCTGTCCCACCCTGGTCCCACACACATGACAACCTCTGCCCTGCACAATCACCCCTGCTGACAAGATATGGCCCATTATTGCAACTCACTTGACAAGTACTCCTGAAGAASTAATTCCAGTCCTCCCCTGAACTGAAATTGCTCTCTTGATGGAAACAAATTGCAACGTATTGCACAGMTACAAGAAATGAGAGGCTGCAGGCTGTTTCTTGCACATCCAGGGAAGGATAACCATGGACACCCTGAACCAAAGCACCTGTGCTGGCAGCAGCCGGCGATGCTGAGGGAACGACAGAATCGTCTTCATCATCTTCTCTCGATCCAGCAGACACAGAATCTCCTCCATGCTTGGCTGCTGCCACAGGGACTTGCCCAGGCTCTTGCAGGTCTTGTGATGCTCCACAGCAGCCGGACCCCACAGCAGGATCCTTACCCATTGGGAAAGGTAAAGGCATTAGGCAACAGAACCAATAGCAATTACAGAGATCRATTAGTACTGAAATTTTCTCTTCACCTGTAGTTATTACGCTGTGGGGCTTCAAACTAGAACTCATTTCCCTGGCAACACCTTTCCCATCCATCTCAAAGCTTTTCCAATTCACTCTAAGGGTGTCTCACCAACTCTGCACTCCCCTGTCCACCCAAGGCAGAATGTCCCTGCTCAGAAGCACCTATGGTTTTCAGTTGCAAGTGCAGGTAAGAAGGACAGCAAGCTGCACCAAGGGACAGAGTTCCAGACCTGCCTCAGCTCCTGAGATACCACTGCTGGTGGTATTTCTGCCCCTACCTCCAGGACAGMAAAGTGCACGTGAGGAAGGCAGACCAAAACCAGAATTGTTGGCAACACACTTTTCCTGTGGACTGCTTGGGCACAGGAAAGGGAARAAGTCCACTACCAACTTATGTTTCAGCCTCAGTCTGTGAGGAGATCCCTATAGTGAGTCCCAACTATGGAGAGTGAGTGACTCCAGAAATGGGATGTTCCCTCATCTAACCCACAGACACCCAAAAGTTTGGGCAACACAAGAGAATTACATTAAGAACAGGAAAAACATAGGAAAAATGTTTCCAAAAGCAACATTCACCTTTAGGTTTGACCTTGTTCACTGTCTCCTTCATTTAAAAATGAGACCCTGGAAAAATCCCAGTTGKGAGACTATTTGTGTGTCATTTGCCCAACAAAGTAAGGTGCTCAGCTTACCTGGRGTTTAGAAGACTTTGATTATTCTTCTCATACAACTGAAGCAGCAGCAGTATCTTCTGATCTAAAACCCAAGATTGAACCCAAAGTTAGTGACCTGAGGAGACAGGAACAAGCTGCAGAAGGGAGAGCTTGGCCAGGCTGACACTCACCCARGGCACTCAGCGTGGCCCCGTAGGCTCCAAGCAGCACTGGCAGGTGGCTGCTGTCACACAGAGAGGGGCTGAGCTGCACTGCTGTCAGCAGAATGTCCACCAGCGCCTCTGCAACAAGCACAGCTTCAGCCCTGGGGCTCTCGGACACACAGAGCACCAATGAACAGCCCCAGACCCGCTCCAAAGGATGCACACACAGCCCTGGACATTTGACATCGACATCTATCTCTAGAGATGCCACAGCCCATTTGCCCAATACACTAAAGGGTGATTATGACACATTTAATTCAAGGGAACATTTTAAAACAGTATTCCCAAGCTGAACACACAAGTCATGTGGCCAGGTGAGGTGCCCAGGGTGGAACACACGACTGTGCAGGAGCTTTTGGGTGTACACAGCCACTCTCTGGTTAAAAAGGAGCACTGTGCCCTTTCTGGCCACAGCTCCACTCCTTCCTCCCCAGGAGGACACCTGCAACAAGCTCAGGAATTGCACAGAGCAAAGGCAGACATCCCAGCAACCTCCCCAAGGACTCAAGAGTTGACAGCAAAAACTTGTAAGYTCCCAGCCCAGCTGCAGGAACTATCAAAATGCTTCTGCACTGTGCACTCCAGCAGGGCAGGTGGTTTGTGAGCCACAGGAACTCTGTCCTCAAGGGCACAAGGATGATCCACCTTTGCTCTCAAACTGAGAAGCAGAAAACACAAATGATCAGGTTCCTCAAAGGCAAACAGGCTGCCTGTAGGACACTCCAGACCCAAGTCCAGATTTCTCTACTCCCAGCATCTGAAACAGCCTGGGCTTTGATCCTAGTTATGTGCAGGAATATAAAATGTGTGTCAGAACTGAAGAGTGAATGTCAGAGCAGCCGGAGTGAATGCACACCAAGCTTCTGAACAGTGCAGCTGCCCTCCAAGAATGCATCCTGCTGATCTACAGAAACACACTCTAAAGGTAAAACACATACAGTAAGCAGCAAAATCTGTTCCTTCTTTTTAATTGCACTAAATCAGTGACTTCACAAGAGCTTTTTTCTCTTTTCAGGTGATTTAAAACTTGAAAGCTTGTTTACATGTTGCTCGCCAATAAACAAAGATTTGTTATCAACAGGCTGCCCTAAGAATTTCCACCCCTTTTCTTACACAGCTCCTTCAATCATTGAATGTCAAACCCCTGCACAGTGGAGAAAAGCTGAAGTCTATGTAGATTAAATGTAGCTCAAGGTCAGGCAGGATTTCAGTTGCCAGAGAAGAAGAAACAAAGCCAATCCTACATATGAACTAGTATCCCATTTATATTCCTCATGGAAGGATATTCCTCGTGAAAGGCTGCAATATGAAATACACGTAATTTAAATTACTATTTTTGATAAAACTTGTGAAATCAACTTTAAACCTACTGTATGAACCTGTTTTAAAACAGGTTTAAACATCACAGGACCCGTGTGCATTTCAGTGATCTTATACTAACTGCCTTACAGAAACCATAAATATCAAACCAACACTTCAACGGGGTTAAAAATACCTGAAAAACAAACAAACAAAGCAAGCAAAAAAAAAATCCAAACACACCTTTCCAGTAGTTTAAAAACGTGTTTAAAATGAATGCAATTTGGATCTAAGCAGAGATACAATTTAAAGGAAAATGCCAATATTCTGGAACTGTTAATAACTCTGCAAGTATTCACACAGGTGGGCATGTTACTGGATGGAGAGAATATAATGCAAGARAGACAAGTTTAACCTGTTTAGCAGGGGAAGAAGATTATTAAAAAATACCTCTTGTCTGAGTGTTCATGCCATCTTCTTCTCTTGACCTCAGGATGGCTGACAAAAACAGCGAGTGCTGGGTGACCATCATGTGAAGTTTGGAGAGCTTGACTAATCTCTGGCTAAATGAGGATTCTTCCTTGTAGAGTARCTGGATGGCAACATTCAGGACCTTCAGAAACGTTTCATCTTTGTAACGGTACCTTTGGGAGAAGGATCACAGAGAAGTCAGATCCCAACCAAACCCAAGGGAATCCGCTCAAAATAAAAAGCTGTTTAAGAAATGAGAACTCAACAAAGAAGGCAAACTTACTGAAACCAAAYCAAATTAAAATGACAACACTTACTTGAGTCCTGCCTTCACAAGGCTGCACCAGTCATCTGGGTCCACTTCTTCAACCATGCCCTGTGTACAGCAAGTAAAAACAAGTGTTGATTTAGATGGGGCATGTGGAGCTYCTACAGCAATTTTTGTTCAAGGGACACACTAAAGACGTGCAAGCCAAACACTCATGTGGGATGATCAGAGGATAACAGTGAAGAAAGCTCCTGGACACAACAATCCTATCTCCTGCTTCAAAGGGAACAGCAARTGTTGTTTTATTGCTCCAGGAGCAGGGGAACATATGGGCTGTGTGGAGCYAAAAAGCAGGCTGGGCTGTAGACTCCAAAAACCCAGTGGCTCAAAACTCTTCAAACTCCAGAACTTGCCACAGCTTGGCAAATCAAAGCAAAAGACTTGGTATACGAGGTTTTTGTGAGGTTTAACTAAGCAAACTGTGCATGTGGCACAATGGGGGTGATGGGGTGTACTCGTTCCTCACAACTGATTGATGCACCCTGAGCTGCTGGGAACCCACAACAAACCAGTCATTGTGGAGAAGAATGACAGCTCATGTACCAACAGTCCTGGGAATGCAGGTGCCAGCCTTGCCAGGCTGGAAACACCCTCAGGATGGGCACTGAGGTGGCCCCAGGGCCTGCAGAGTGAGCCAGGTCCTACACGGGAGTCTCAGCAAAAGCCAGAGAGAGGGCAAAGCATTGACTGCTCACACAGATGCCAGTGTTAACTGTTACRGGATCTGCACTGGACTCAAACCAAGTCAACAGCACAGAGGGAGTGATGCAAGCAGTGTTCTTCAGGATCGAAGTTCTTCAGGATTTTCTATTTTCTATTTATTTTTATTTTCTATTTATTTTTTTCTATTTATTTTTCTATCAACCAGAGTTTTGCCCCAGTCTTCGGATGGCACGGCAGGTGGGTCTTGGCAGAAGTTTCTCTATCACCGTTTTTTAATTAAAAAAAAWAAAAATCCACTGGTAACCTTTGATTTCTTACTCCTAAATACCTCATACTCCTATTTTTGAAGGGGATTCTTAGCAGAAAGCCATCATCAAGAACATAAAACTGCCTCATATGAAGGATTATTATGGCTAAGTTAACTCTGCAAAAGTATTAAAAGCCCATGGAAAGCAGATTGCATAGAAGAGGAAATCAAGCACACTCTATATTTACAAGATTTACGAGTGCCCAATCACTCATACACATACAGTCCCACTGTGACAAAGCAGGTAAGAAGTCTCACCAGTAATTCCTCTAGCCTCAGCAGCATGGACCTCTCCACTTCTTGCTTGCTTTCATTTTTACTGCTGTTGTACATGGCCACTAAGCCCTTCATGCAGGCAGACAAGAGACGTCTCCTCCAGGAAMGCAGCTCCTCTGAGTCTTTAAGCACTCTGGATATGGCATCTGCCACTGCCCATCTGCAGAGAGACAGTTACTGATTTTTTTGTGAATATTTTAACTTGCTTTTTGTGTATGTTAAAGATGTCTTGCTGTCAAAGTGTAAAGTGACAGCTTCTCTGAGGAGAGGATGCTGCTCCTGATGCCACTGGTATCAAAGTGCATCCCCAAAATGGACAAAGGGAGCCCTGAGGGCTGGATCACATATCCACACACTGCATTCCCTACCTCTCTGCATTCCCTGCCCTCTCCAGAGCAGCAGGAAGCTGGGCCATCAGCTTCTGCAGCCCTTTGCTTTCCGAAGGTGGCAACAACTTTGCAAGAATCTGCAGTTTCCCAGTGGCCTCACGCGATGCTGTGGTGTCCTGAATCTCAGCACAGAGCTCTTCCCACAGGGCTTTCCTCAGGACAGCTGTGACCGCCGAGACAACTGTTGGGAGAGGACAGAGCACAGGTTCCACCACCTGCAGGTGTTCAACAGCAACACACTCATCCCCWAACACTTTCTAATCCAGGCTCAGATGACTCAGTTTCCAGAAAATGGTGCTACAGCAACTGCTCATCTGCTACAGAGAAAGAAGTGCTGCAGAGAGGCTCAGTTCTTTACCATCCTCTGCTTCCCTGGGTGCTGACAAAGCCTTTTCACTGCTTCACCYTGGAGGCAGAGCTACAGCTACAATCAGCCCGCTTCCTTTGCTCTTTACATTTCTGCCCATAAGAGAAATGAAAGCAAAGTGATCCTGTTCTGTCAAGGTGAATCCTCATTGTTTTGCTGGTAGARGATTTAACCCACTGGTCCATCGACGTCCTGCTGCTGTGGGTTTGGAAAGTTCTGGACCACCATCTTAGGATGGAGATCTCCCACAGCTGGAGATTTGTTTTAGAATAAACTTTTTGACTCTGTAAAAGTGAAAGCTCAGGTTCTGCAAAAACCATCTGGCCACAGCATYGCATACCCCAGACACTGTTCTACCCATGCCTGAGCAAAAGGTTTTACTTCCTGTATGAAATTAAGAGAAGCACAATGACAGATTGTCACACGCACCAAGCATTAAACAGGGGCTTGGAAAGAGAGCTCTGGGCAGTGGAACCATAAGAGCATTTGGCTTCAGGCTAACAGCCAACCCTCAGCACAGCCCTTCCCCTTTAGTGCTGCAGAGGTACCTCCAAGAGCCACCAGAGCTCAGACATCCCAATCTCATCACCTCCATCAATTGCCTTAAGGCCAGCAGACCCTGAGCAGGGAATTTGGCCTCCTGAATCACAATCAGGGCTCAGTGGTGCCTTTACCTGAGGAGGGTCGGCTGAAACCAAACTCGTCTCTGCACTGCACATACACATTCAGGAGTGGAAGAAAGCTCTCCATGTGTTTCCTGAGGTACTTCCCAGTGGCACTGCTCAGACACCAGAGCTCAAACTGCAGCAGGTGAGTCCTGGAGTGCTGGAGCAGCATGGCCACGATGGCCAGGGACGTGTGTGAGTGCTGGGCAAGGCAGTGAAGCTGCACCTCGACACCAACTGTGAGAGCAAGGACYGGCTCATTCTGGAGAGCCTGAAGGAAAACTTGCTCCAAATCTTTGCTGGCTGATGCTGACATCAATAGCCCCAAAGCTTTCATRTGCTCTGTGGACAGCAGAAGTTCTCCTTGCTGGGAATGCCTTTGGTAGCTGTCTGTGAGGAGCTGCACCAAAATTTGTCCRTAGAAGCTTAACTGTTTCCCTTTTTGGGGGCATTTCTCAGATTTCTGAGCTGTCAAGCTCATTTCAGGAAGTTGCAGCATGGTTAAAGTGATCTCCTTCAGCTGAGCTGCAGTCATGTACACGTGCAGCTCCTCCAGAGCCTGCAGCTGCTGAGACTTCCTGGGACAGACCTGGCTTCTGTCCTTGCCCACAGCCTGCAGCTCTTCCAGGACAGCTTTGGTGACAGCTTCAAAATACTTGGACAGCACGTGTCTGTGACCCATGGTGGTGCTCTGCAGGATCGGGGCACCCGTTTTCAGCAGCTGGAGCACGCCGAGGTTGAGCTGAGCTGACAGGAGTTTCACAGTGACAGGGTTCAAACCAGGCTGAGGAACCGAGCGCAGCTCCAGCGCCAGGAACCAGCTCTCCAGAGTAGGATGCCTGAAAATCAAGGTGAGCRCATCTTCCAGTACCTGTAACAAACATTGTACAGCATCACTGAATGAACCATCTCAGTCCATAAACTCGTTCATCTGCCTGTTTTCCAGCAGCTTGACAATTACAGTTACTGAACATGACTTTGTCTACTAGCTGGCCAGAGGATAAAAATAGGAATGAATTACACAAATATCATTATTCCAATATTCATGCTGTGGGATTTATGCTGTTATACCGAACATTCTAGACATGCCTAAGCACATCTCCTGAATATCCTGGGATTCATCAGCACAATTCTATTCTAATCCCCAAAAATTCACAGAACCGATGAGAGAGGGGGAAGAATTCACTCCTCAAGTACATAATTTTCATAACAAAGCTTTACACAGGGCTTAGGGAATACATTTTTTTCTGCAAAGGTCATCTCTTTCAGGACCTCTCCTGACTGTGGGTGATGCAGCTGGACCACATCTCCAAATAGAAGTTTTGCAACTGCTACACCAGCTGCAAATGCTCTATATGCCTAAGTTCTTCTCCAAGATCWTAACAGCATCTCTCTGTTCAGCTCTCTGGAGAATCAGTCAAATCAGAGTTTACTAACGGGTGCCTGTGTATCAGGCCATTTGGTACCTTGTCATTTGCAGACTCTTCTGCCACCAGTGACTCCTCATCCATAAAGAGATCCGACTCATCCCGATGCTCCTCCCGTTTCTGCTGCMGATCCAACTCCATTTGCTTGGCCCGGCACAACAAACTGCTCAGCATGTCCACATAGAGGCCAACCAGCTGAGGACCCAAAGTTTTACCAATCTACGAAAAYAAAGACATCTTGGAAGTTGAGAAAAGAGGAGGATGGGAGCAGAAGGATAATTATCCATCAGGAATAGGAGTTAACTAAGATCTGCTTAGATTACAACATCTTCTGGGGAAGGAATCACTCCCCTASGTAGAAATCTGATTCTAAGTCTCAGGTTGCCAAACAAATACTGATAGACTTTCATTTATACCATGACATTCGGGGTTACATAGGCTAGTGAATTTTACTCTCTGGAAAGGCTTCTTAGGGAGACCCAGGAGCTGGATTCAATCTTGAGTTTATTTGCACTCACATCAATCAATAAGGCAACCCATGCAAAGTAAATTCAAGACTCCTCAATAATCAGAAGAACTGGCATTTCTKTACAAGTTAGGTGCAGTTTTGTCTGGTGCTCTGCAGCCTCAGAGCCAAGTACAGGAAAAAGCTGCACAACTGGAATCTAAGTTTTAACAGCCAAGTCATTTGCACCTTCTACATTAAAATAAACCAAACATAAATTATTACAATATTGCTCTTACACTGCTGAAGTTCTCCACTGTGGATTTCAGGTATAGCAGCACGTGCTTTACTCCCAACAAAAGCTGTTCAGGTGGGAGGCAGGAAGCCAAGTCTCTCAATTTTGACTGAACACCATCTTCCAGTAAAGTATTGCTTCCTCTCTCATAGGCTCTCCTTAGCACAGTGGTAAATACACAATCCAGTGCCACAGTAGGTTCTTGGCTTACCTTCTTGTGGTTTTTAAACTGTTTAAAAAAAAAAAAAAAGCATATGAGAAGAACAATGATGAGTATGAATCAAAAAGCTCTTCGGCCCCCTTTGTTTTGAGATGAGCTCTGAGCTGAAGCCAGGCCTAAAGCTGCAGGAGCARCAGAGTGCAGTCCTGCTGGAACAGAGCTGTCCAGCAGTGTCCCCAGGGCTGTCAGAAGTGCTCACTGCTGGTCCTACASAAAAGCCTCAGCAAACACAGCCCTTGGCCCCGTGATCCCAGCCCAGGTAGGGGGAGCTCAGCACTGTGAGCTGAGACCATGGCCCAGCCCAGGCTCTGCTGAGCCTGGCAGGAATCTGTGCATGACCCCTGAGCCCTGGCATCACCTCCCAACCACCACAAAGACCCCTCGTGTCAGCAGAGACAAGCCTTGGAGCAAATTGGTGTCCCAGTGTGATCAAGAAGAAATACAGAATTAGCTCTATAAAAATGCACTTTCTGATGGAAATRTAACCTCTATAAACTGTAAGATTTTTGTAGGAACACTGGCTCAAGAATTCAGCGACTTCAGGTATTCCATACCACAGGTTCCTGAGATTGCTGGGGTATCCAGAGTTTATAGTACTGGTTAAACTGGTAGAGCTGAGGATACTTAGAAACTTTCAGCAACTTGAGTTCTTTATCATAGAGCTGAAACATCAAGCAGAGGGCAAGGGGTTCTCTCTGAGAGTGCAGGATGTCAGTGAAAACAGCAACAAGGTACTCCACGATATGTGCTCCTAGAAAAGCAAAAATAAATTAAACTACTGACATGAACACAGACCCTGGAGCAACCCTCCTCACCTTGGGCCTGGGCAGCAGCCCACAGAGCATCACTCATAAACGTACCCAGAAAAGATAAAAAGGTGTTTGTAGTGACCTAGGTAAGTGTTCCTGACCTGTGCAGGTACCTGAAAAACTCTCCACTCATCAGTTCTTGCTGAAGTAAATAATSCCCTTCACTGTGCTGTGCTACATGCACCTGTATTTTAACCTGCAAGGTTAAAAGACCCCTGCCAGGCACCTCCTCCAAGAACTGATAGGCACACACTCCAGTTAATGTTGTACAAGCTAAACAGGGACAATTCTTCTTCAGAACTGGGACTGATGCCCCTGGGACTCCGTTTTTTCCAAGGAGGTGGTTGAATTTCGCAACATTTGCCACCAGAGCTCCATCCCTGAAGAAGTTTTCTTTGGAAAATGCATCCATTTCCTACTCAACAGTGCAGTCCTCTCTCCCTGATCCGGGGAAGAGCTGCCTACAGCCAYGGAAAACACCTTCCTCTCATGATCTCCACACTCCATCCCTAAAACACTGTCACYGAAGCCAACTACTTGCAGACCATGACCATCCCTGCAGGGAAGCAGGGGAGAAGGGCAGAAGCACCTACTGAGCTTCAGTGCCTCTCCTGAGCAGGAAACACCATGGATCTGCACCTCCTTCTGCTTGCAGGGAAAATAATGTCTCACGGTAAAAAATGATAAATGGAAAAAAATTATAAAAAAATGGGTAAAAATGATGCCACTTTCACTCCAYTGGTAGAGATGACACATAAACAAAAACAGTCTGTACCTGTTCCATTTTCAGACTGAAGCAACAGTACATTCCTGGCTTCTAAGGCAGCAGGGATAACAGCACTGAAGGGAAATGTTTGGATAATCATGTCTTCATTTAAAGAGAACCCAATTTCTTCATCTAAGCCTTCACTGTCCTCGATCAGGACATCCACCATATCCAGGACATCTAAWAAGTGAAGAAAAAAATCTGTGCAGAGGATCCAGACTAACTGGGAAAACAACAGAGGTAGAATGCAACACTCCAGGAATACAAGGCATCTTTTTAATTTCTCCAGCAAAAAATTACAAAAAGGATGAAAGCCATCTTTGTCAAGCAACACAACAGAAAGTGCAAGACAAAAATCAGAGCTGAATTTCACTCTGCCTTTCAATGCTGCTGTCCAGCACAGAGTGCCCAGAGCAGCTGTGGCTGCCCCTGATCCCTGGCAGTGCCCAAGGCCAGGCTGGACATTGGGGCACTCTGGGACAGTGAGAGCTGTTCCTACCATGGTAGGGGGTGGAAATGGATGAGCTGTACAGTGCCCTCCCACCCAAACCCTTCTGGGATTCCATGATTCCATGAACAGCCCCAGGGAGAAGAACTAAGTTTCTGTTTTAGTTAGAAAATGCTGCTGCAAGAGCCTGAAGAGAGATTTAAAAAACTCTCTGTTACAGTGGCACAACCGCATCAGAAATTACTTTTGGGTGTAAGTGGTAACTTTGCAATTCTGACTTCTGATACCAAGTACGTGTGGAMAGCTGAATCCTGGAAGTGCTTGCATAACAGGATTTCTTTCTCAGTTATCCATCCCCAGTTTGCTGATTAGGGCYAGAAAAGGCAACCCCAAGTCCTGGAATTCCCTTGTTGAGGGGTGACCACATACCGTCGATGTGAGAGACAGGGATGCTGATGCTATCAGAGTCCTGTTTCAACAAAGTGACCTGGAGCATGCTGGCTTCCTGAACCACATCTGCTGCCTTGTCTGTGTAGGGATAGGGGTTTGTCACCAGCCTCAGCAGGATCTGTCAGCAAGGTGGAGAGAGGTACGGCTGTCAGCTGCAGGGAACCACATGTTGCTAAGAAAGACCATGTACTAAAAGTGGTTGGAAACTGGGCATGTTTTAGGAGGAAAACTTCCATATCACTTCTGCAGGATTCTGTCTACGGTTCCTGCTCTACAGGGGACACTGATGGAAAAACAAAATCCACTGAAACTTGRCATCCAAATTGCTGCCACAGACTGAGTCCCCGGGCAGACCGGGCTGGAAAGGAAGTACTGGGCATTCAACATCCTGAACAGYGAACAGGAAACGTCAGCTTTTCTTGTAAAAGACCACAATTTACTGAGGTCTGATAATTTTGGCASTTAAAGAGCAGGTAAAAGCTACGCACACATACAACACTCTACCCTTACACCAGCAATGCTCTAATAACAATTGATCCTCTTGGATTTCCTTTTCCTACAAATYGTGTTGCTGTCCTCCCACCCAAGACAAGAACAATGTCACCTCCATACAAAGAATCCCAAACACTGCTTTTCTCAGAATTCWTTCACTGGTCTTTGACAGGTTTCTCAACAATAGCAACAAAATCTCTAGTTTCCACTAACACTGTTCTTTGCATTGTTTATCCAATGTTACTGTTAATTTGAACACTCTTACTCTTTCCAAAAACTGAATCACTGCTTCCTTTTGGTCTTCTTTTGTATTATCCAAGTGTTCCAGCCAAATTGAAAGTTCCTTCCATGTGTACTCAAACACTCCACTGTCACGTAAAACCTGTCCAGGAAACACAAGGGGAGATGTGTAAAAAAACCTCAAAACACCTCAAATACAAAACCCCAAGAGACACAGATMTTTTTATAGAATAACTTCATTATTCCTTCTTTTGGCAAAGAAAAAAAGAGGAGGTTAATGAAAAGAAGTGTCTGTCACTCTCCTCMCTCCCTCAGTTCAAGAGGCCTTACTCCCACTCACTAGGGCAACTTTAACTGTATAATAGAGAACAAAAATCTTACTTCCATAATTTCTGGAGAGCACGTTATACYGCTTTCAGAGGTTTGTACATTTATACCATCACAGGCAGGGGGAAAAAAAGCACCTTTAAAAGAGCCTGTAAGCAGGTTTAGAAAACTACTGATCGAACATAAGGGAAAATCATTGCTAAATTAAATCTGAATCAGGCTACTTGTAGTTAACAGAATTAGGCAGATGGGTAAACAGTCACATAAATTGAGCAGTGCATTGTGACCACAGCAAGGTCCAGAGAGAAGTGCAAGTTCCTGGGGGTGGTGAGGTAGATCCAGATATACCCCAACCAAGAAACATGCTTTAACATATCTAGAAATTTCCCCCCACTTTCACGGTCTCTAAACTCAGGCCCTGATTTCCTGTGCCTGTCCCTCACTCCCAACAAGAGAGGAAACCTTGCCCAGCTTCCTGACTCTGGTACCTGCATTAAATGGATGCAATTACACAGGATAAATCTGTGCCTTTGCTCCTCTCCACAAGCAAAACACAACAGAAGCTATCACAACTCATTTGTTCTATGTTTACTCTAGAGCTCTAAAAATATCTGCTGCTTACGTGACACTGACAGGGTAATTCATTTAAATAAAGAAAAAATGAGTGAAAAATGACTTAACATTATTGCCTATTTATGGCAGAGTCTTGAAATAGAAATGTACTTGCAGCTCTCAGAAAAACAGGCAGGAACAGAAGGTGAAATCCAAAAGCTAGCCTTCACTTACATGGCACTGTGCAGAAAAACAAGTCCATCCCATCTGTTCTTAGCAGCCTCTCTAACTGCCCTGACTTCCCTGCTCCTGCATTTCCTTCAGAGAAAATGCAATGGACTGARGCAGAAAGTGGACACAAGAATGAGTCAGGCAGTCCATATTTCCACTCTGCAAAGGAATCCAAACCCACTGGAAAAATGGCACATTTTCAGCAGCTTTTGGTTGAGACGTTCGTTACTGGGAGACAAAGTATTCCTGCCTTTAATCCCTTACAAGGATCAAGAGCAACTAAACCCTAATTCAATCTCTGTAGCTTTGGTGCACTGAATATTACAATGGCACCTGTGATTGGAGGTAAATGCAATGATTAAATGCACAAAGCTGGGTACARATTTGTGGGCCACGAATACTGAAGGACACAGCGTGAGGAGCCCTGTCCAGGGCCAGTACAGCTTCCTGGATTTTCTCTAAGCAGCACAGTTTGGCTGCATTTATTCCTAATGTAGATCTCTACCCTTACTTAGACAACTAAAAGATGTCTTCTTTCAAGAAGATGCTGAAAACAACAGCCACTGCTGTCCGGGGGACTTGCAGTTGACTGGTTTTTCTGAAAAATCAAATAACTCATTTAAATGTACAGAAAGGGATTTTAATTAATTTTTAAGATGAAAAGCACTCCTTGCATCAAAGGCTCTATCAGACAGTAACAGACAGGACTATTCTGCAGGGCCAGAGCAAACCAGCTAAAGCTTTAGCAAGGCTCCAGTGCTAATTATAGATTAAATAAACAGTGACAAAAACCAAAAACCAAAAATAATCTCTTCTTGATCACTGTCAAGACCTCTGCAGGCACAAATTACATCAATTTTTTCCAGTATAGGAATTAATTCAGCCTAGGGGGTGGGCATACATTGAAGACATTTTCCTTACTCTTTCATCAACTGCTGCAGGAAAGTCAGTTCACAGCATTTATTTCCATAAGTTGTTTAGCTAGTAGCCTGACTCTGACAGCAAATTCCAACAGTCACGAGAAACAGGAAAGGAGACTGTTGGCCACACAACCAGGTAGTAAAGGTATGCGCTRTAAGAAAAAAATTTACAGTCCTGACATTTCAGAATAGTGGGATATAGTGAATATCCTGATATTTCAATTCAAATGCTTACCTTGATGATCAATTTTTTKGTGGAAATTTTCAGATGAGAATGGGTACTTGTAACAAACATTTTCATCAATAAATAGAAGACGGATTTYTCACCAGACATCTTCTCTGTCTCAGAGGTGTCCTACAAGAAAAATATATTAAAATTGCCCTGCTACAGCAACATTGTGCAGTAAGACTGTGTTTGCACTGAGGCTGATATGTATGGTAAGTATATTACTTTACAGATCTGCCCAAAAACCCCAAGGCCAGAAASGAATGAATTGTGCATTCAATGAGCCAGCATCAATGCACTCACCTGTACAATGCTCTTCTGGAAAGTGGAAGAAAACAGTAATGACAGAAACTCCAGCTACTCTCAGGAGCCAAGAAAAAGCCACCTCCCTCACCAACCATCTTTTCCTCCCCAGTCATCCCACTTCTATCCTCATTACCACACTCGTGGGTGTCTCTGCTCCCCCTCAAAGTCAGGTCCACTCCTTCCTCCTGACATGACAAGCAAACTCTTGACAGAGTTCTTATCYTACAAGCCTGCAGCAAAAGAGAGACCTGGGGCCTTGATGGTTCCCACTAATTATGGAGAGCATTAAAAAACGCTGGAAGCTCCCTTGGGAAGGGGTGGGATTGSTCCCATCAGTGGCTCATTTCCCTGCTCTGCAACCTCAGGCATTCCAGACAAGTGGAGAGCAGCACATTCTCACTTGTGCTCCTCTCCAGAGGCACCAACACTTGAAGGAACCTTCTCCAGGGCTCATCAGGGAGGGACGCAAAAAATGTTGTCCTTGTGAAAAACCTTTCATCTCAGAAGGGATTTTTCACTACTGCTAAGATTGTAATTTCAGTTGGTTTTACACCTCCTGAAATGACTGGACTAGACTAATTTAACACTAGGAAATGCCAGATGGAAAGACCTGAGGACAACAGGCCAAGAGAACATAAATTTGCATCAGGCTCTTACCTGTACTCTGAACCAGGTGAATTTGTTTGCAGGAAGTTCCAAAGCCACTTCCAGTATATGGTGCTGCAGAAGAGGAGGGACCTCCTCCCGAAGGCCCTTTTCAGTGACTATACCTGAGGGGTGAAAGCAAGAAAAAAACCTCAGTTTGGTCCATCTTCCTGAGATCWCAGAACACTCATCTTTCAGGGTTTAAAACACCACTGTGAGACAAGCTGGCAATTAAGAAATCCTCACATCACGGGATTCCCAGACACTCTGCATCTGTGTTTGGCCAACCCCAGGTGGGATCCCAGCCCTCACAGGGAGATCCCATCACCTGACCCCAGCACAAACCATTCCTCGTGCATGGCATTCATCTCTCTTTTCTCAACTCTGAAAAGCTGTGACCGACAGGCAGTACAAGGGATGSATAAACTGCAGAGCAAAATACAGAACTGAACTCAACAGGCAAYCTTAATGCTCAAACCATGAGAGTATTTGCACCAGACAAAGGAACGTCACACTCCTGTGTCTCTCCCTACATGGCTTTTCTCACCAGCCAAGGCATAACCTCACTCATTCTGTCACAGGTCAGGGAGCTCTTGCAGGGTGATCCAAACCTGCCCTGCCCACACCTGCCCTGCAGGTWAATCACACAGGGACAGTCTCGGAGCCTGCAGTGTCTTTGTGGCCCACACTAGAGAGACAACAGTACATTCTAAAGTCACAACCAAGGCAATCCAACAGTAACACCAAATAACAAAACTCCACCAGCTATTTAAATGACATATTGCTGCAAGGTAGAAAAATAGGCTGCCTTTGGTGTGCATGTTTCCATCAGGGAGATCAGAGGGGGAACAGAACTCTCACACTGACACATCTGAGAGAACCAAGTCTCATGATTCATTTACACCATCATTTTCTACCATGTCATCTTCCTTCAAAATCAATACCCAGGTTTACTTCATTACATTTGTTTTGGAATGATACTTAATATTCCAGCCTGTTCAACATTATTATTTCATAATTTACCCAAATTTCATAATGTACCCAAAAAGACTCACAAAGAAATTTYTGCCTCACAAAGAAGTGTCTTGGCTTTTGTTCGGTTTGAAGTAAGCAGACCGGTGCAAGAAATAAAGGGATAAGCAGGGTATATGAACTGGTGAGTCACTAAGAACAAAAATTAATTAAACATGCTTTGACAGAGGGAGGAAAAGCCTCACACACGACACAGTTGATTTAGAGAGGCATTTTGTTTAAAGCCCCTTTCTCTCCAACAGGTAAATGAAGGCATTTACACAACTGCCATCCTTACARACACCAGGCCATGCCTGACACACAGATGGCTGCTCAGGCTGGGTGACAGCAAGCCCTGGTGGCCCACAGACAGCAGTGATGCCCAAGCAGCCCTGGGCTCTCTGCCCCAGTCTCAGCTGTACATGGCTGCATCGACCATGTATATATCCCTATTCTCTATATCCCTATTCTCTCTATCCCTATTCTATATATCCCTATTCTATATATCCCTATTCTCTAGATCCCTATTCTAAGGGATATATTCTACTGACTTAGTCATGTCATGCTGCACTTTCCACGTGCCTTAGCAGAGTTTCCAGAAGAATCTGCTCCATGATCTTGCCTGGCACAGAGGTGASACTGACTGCTTTGTAGCTCCTTGGGTCTTCCACTTCCTCCTTTTTAAAAATGAGGGCTGGGTATCCCCTTTTCCAGTCAGTGGAACACAACCAGACTGCCACAGAGTCTCAAAYGCGATGGGTAGTGCATCAGCCACTGCCTCTTGTCAGCTCCTCAGAGCTCGTGGATGGATCTCATCAGGWCCCATGAACTTCAGCACACTCAGGYTCTCAATGGGCTTAAACCTGATCCTCTCTGACGGTGGGCTCAGAATCTGCAGTCTCCCAGTCCTGACATTTGCCTTTCCCAAGGCAGGAAGCTTGGCTGGAACACTTGTCCTTGAAGACTGAGGCACAGAAGACATGGAGAATCTCAGCCTTCTTCATGTCCAGGGAAGTCACGTCTTCCATTTCCTTCTGGACAAGGCTCACACCACCCCTCGCCTCTCYTTTGTTGGCCACACACCTTTGGATGCCATTCCCGTTGTCTTTGACATCCCTGGCCACTCTGTTCTAACTGAGCCTTAGCTTTCTGGACCCTMTCTCTAACTTCCCATACAATTTTCCTCCCAAGCCACCAGTCCTCGCTTCTACCTCCTGAAAGCTTCCTTTTTTTACCTGTGTTGTTGCTCATCAGCTCCTTATCTATTCATGGAGACCTCCTGGCATTTTTGCCCTATTTCTTCCTTGTCAAGATTCCCGAGTTTGGAGGRGGGGATCCTTGGATATCAGCCAACATTCTAAGGCCTCTCTGCCCTCCAGAATTCTGTCCTATTGGACCCTACCAAGGCCGAATCTCTATTATAACATTTTTCAGAGGACGCTGGCAAACTGGGACGTGTTTCTCCCCCCCAAGCCCCAAACTTTTTGTGAACTATGCTGTTCGAAAAATTCTTTACTATTGCAGCTAATAAGAATTTGGAAATAACTTACTGATGGTGGATTGCTGACAGAGGGCTAGAAGAAAACTCATTAAGAGCTGAAGATAAGCCTTCCTCAGAAAGATTAGAATTGAAAGCCCATAAAGACCAAACACTTCCAAGAATATGACACACAGAGAGGAAGACTGGAGTGCAGCGTAGTGCTGACAACTGAGAGTGGCAGAGTAGCTATGGAATTTAGCAGTGCCAGAGCACTGCAGAAAACAGCAACAATAAATGCAAACACAATGGAGAAACTAAAATGGGCTACTTTTAGAAAACAGTTCTTTATCTCCACAGAAAAGYAAACATTTCCTTCTGCTGTGGACTTTGTGAACAGCCACAGAAAACAATGGAGGAAASAGAAATACCCAGCACGTACCTTTTAGCAGCTTGCTGAAATCAAAGGTGCTCTGTGCTACCAAGTGGGGCACAACCTTCTGATAAAGACATATGACCTGAAGCAGGGCAGCTTTCAGAAGCAGCGTCTCAGCATCATCTGAACCTGAACAAAGTGTTTCCATGATTAGTTTCTCCTTCCTTCATAKCAAGAGAGCACAGTGTAGCACCTGCATTACCCCACATGAGAATTTCTGACTGTACTTCCAAGACACCTGCCTAGGAAATGATCCGCTATCTTCCCAAAAAGAAGAACAAGAAAAACACACGTGAAATCTCCAGTTTCCTTCCTATTCCTGTGTGAATACTTTCAAAACTAGATCTGCTTATTTAGTGATTAGATTGAGAGCTGCCATTTCTAATTTGACTCAGAAGTGCTCACACATGACCATTTGAACACTCATTGTAAGAATCCCACTGGGTCCAGCTGCTGCTTAATTTAAAGCTGAACAACAGGAAAAAGTGAAGGATACGGTCATGCTGCTGATTTCTGGGGACACTACTTTTAGCTAATGTCAGGTAGGTTTGGCTGGGGAACTGCAGGAGACAGCACACTGTAGTTGGTTGGCAAATGTATTGTTTCAGCTAAAGACTTCTTTCTTTCCCTTCCTCCTTTCAAAATAATACTTTCTCAGTGTGAGCTCTTGGCAAGAGGCAGACAACAAATACCTGTATGAGAGAAACACCAGTACCCCTTACAGCAACCATTTACCTCCTAAGAAAAGCCATCTCAGCTTTCATTTGTAAAATAGGAGGCATAAAAGCTATTTGTTATCCATTCATTAATGAAAGCAAGCAAAGCACATGAAGGAACTCACTTTTCCCTGCTAACTCAGTCTCCCTTAGGAAGTTAGGAAGAACAGGATGAATGCCATGGATCAGCTTTGTTTGCCTGAGTCTCAGCTCCCATYGGAAAAGAATTCTCCAGTGGCCACAATGCAAATAAAGCTGTAAAAGGTGAGCTGGGAGTAAGTGACAGAGCATTACCACCWCAGTAATGCAGAGGAACTGCAGCTACAGTCCTGCAGAAATGAGCTGGTTTCCAGAGGCACTCTGCCAACCAAGCCTTGGAATGTCAGTGCTCACAACTATTTTGCTGCCCAAAGGGATGCAGAGCAGGACAACCACTGAAAAACCCTTTGCTCCAGGAAGTCTTTCTGTAGAAAATGCCCTATGAAGGGCAAAACTCGTTTCAGATTTATCTCCAGCCTACRAGGAAAACTTCACAGGCCATTGGTCAAGATGGGGACAGCCCTGAAACTTCCCATTCCCTGCAACGGGACTGTGGAAGCAAGCAAGAGGGACACTGGGTTTGAGAGAGAAAAACTGAACCCTTCACTCCAACTCTCTCTCCCTCTTCCAACACACATAATTCCACTCCTGTGTTACATCAATAGAAGCATTTACACAGCTATAGTAACTAACTGCCAGGAAAAAAATTAAACAACATCCTTATAAAATAACTTGCACAACAAAGTCTCCTAAAAAACTATTTTTCAGGCATATCTGTCTCCWTCCCAGTTTTATTTTGAGGCTGTGAAACAACTACTAGCCTGGGCAGAAGGGCAGAAGGGCTGAATTCAAGAGGAAGAGCAGAGTCCTGCAGCTGGGAAGGAAGAGCCCCGTTCACCAGCACATGCTGGGGGCCACCTTACTGGAGAGCAGCTTGCCAGGGAAAGATCCCCTGGGGTCAGGGAGCTGCTCACTGACTGTGAGTGTGATTGAGCCCCCACACCAGACAGGTTCTGGAGTCTCCAYCCTYGGATACTCAAAAGTTGTATGACCCTAGGTAATTACCTAGGTAACCAGCTTTAGGCAGAGATGGTGGGCAAGATGATTTTCAGAGATCCTTTCCAACTCAACCAATCTGTGATCCTGGGACAGCAGAAAGTCAAACTGCTTAACCTTCTGGCAGCAGTGCCAGCCCATGTTACACTGTGCTGTCAGGCAATTCTAACGGCCCAAAGAGTGGAACCAAGAAAAGGSGAGCAGTAAATGCACGAGTGAGATCTGGACTCTGCTGAAATTAAGGGTGGGACAAGGGTCCACAGGAATGGTTTCACAACACCCATTCCCACTTGCTTTGCCTACCATGCTGCTCAGCAGCTTCTGCTGTCTCGGTTGTTGACTTCACAGTGGAGAGATCTCTTTCCTTTTCCTCTGCGGGGCCATCGTGGTGTTCTGATTCTTGCTTCGGAAGGGACTGCCAGACAGCCACTATAGCAGTCATGTCTGGTAAAACCTAAAAGCAAAAATGGCAAATTGCAACAGCTCTTCTTTTTATGACAAAGCTCCTGTGATAAATACAACCCCAAACATCCAACAGGAAGATTTGCTGCTCTTCATAAAGGTTGGAACTGACCTCGTGTGCAATCGGGGAATGATCTGAAATCAAGCACTGTACCTTCACTTCTGCAGAATGCAAGTACTGGAAAGAATATTTTATTGAAAAGCATTCCTGTGAAAATTTTATGTTTGGTTCTTCAYCCTCGTGGTATGTTTTCAACTCAAGTGCTCTCTTGTCTAGTAACTTCTGAGTAACCTCTGCTGGCTACATTGACTTGAACCAGGAGGAGAACTTGATTCCTGCTCTTGGAATCCATTTGCAGCACAACAACCATCAAATCTGTCTCACCACAAAACGTGATTTGCATTCGCTCTGACAGCTGTGTCAGGAAACACAGGCTCCTCCCTCACTGTTCATCCCACAGGACACCAGCTCCTGCTCCCAGGCTGCAGCCACTTGAGCAGAAACTACAGAGGACAGCAGTGTCTGCTGCCTGCAAAAYGCCTCCTGTCAACCCCCAATTGTCTCTTCTTTTTCTTTCTTTCTACCTTGCTGACAGCTTCTCTGTAGAGCTGCACAAACTCCTGCATTGCTGACAGCGTGTAGATTTGAGACCTTTGCCAAGTTTCTTCAGACAAGCAGTGTTCAATGTTCCTCAGGGCTCTTCTCAGCACCATGGACACCATGGACAGGATGTTGTGCTTCACCACTGTGCTGGACAACTAAAAGAAGGAAGTGAATTAATGGCATTTCAACAATTCCTGTTATGCTTGGCACAGAATCTGTACCCTGAATGTGTGTTAAAATTTGTCAACGAATTATTTCCTAAATCTTGGCTACCAGTAAAGAATCCACAGGTTTTCAGATTTCCAGCCTAAASCACTAGCAGGCAGTGGCAGAACAGGTGCTTGTGAAAGGCACCTGTAATCAGTACCAGTGGTTTTAATTCATTTTCCAGTGGTTCCCCAAGCCCAATTTATGCTGGGGCAGACAACACAAAACRCATGTAATTAAGCAACTTAAGAATTTTTTTGAATGATCAGACACTTAAATCAAACAGTACTAACTGGGACAGAAAAATCACTGAAATACTGTAGACTGCTCTTACATTTAATCCTTGGTTGAACATTGTTTTATTGCACACTGCAGGGACTGTTGTTACCATCACCATAGAAAGCAACCTGGGAAGAGGAATAAATTCTGAAGTCTTAAAAGAATAGGAGATTTCTGGTTGAGCCTCATAGATCTGAAAGAAAAAAAAAATTAAGGCCCATTGATATAGTCCCAGAGATAATAGCTTCTTCTGGGGAGCATTTTACAAAAAGATTTTGATTTTGCAAAAGTAATGTCAACATTAAATGTCAATTTTTATGCAAAAATGCTACAGAGCATCCTCCAGATTTCTATTCAACTAAACGAACCCTCTGCATGCAACTAGCATCCCTCTTAAGGCCACCCCTTTTCAACAGATTCCAGATCCTACTTGCCCATTTTAAGCTAAATAAAGAGGCAGTGGACAAACTCTCAAAGGACAAAAGGTTTTTCTAGCTGAGCTTTGATGTGGTGGCATCTCAAGAAATACATCACTGATTTGATGTTTTCCACTGCCTCTTACACCAACTCCTTCTTTCCCAGTTTAGTTCAAATGTTTATAGTGCCTCCTGCTCTGAGCATGGCTTTTTATCATCATCTACACTCTTACCTTCTTGAGTAACTTCATATTGTCCATCCAAGCAGACTTTGTTCTAGGAACAAAGGAATACTGGGTCTCCTTGAAATATCTATTCAATAAGTCTGGGCATACTTTGAAAATATTCACCATGAGATCAGCRACCATTTCATCTTCTGTTGCAGTTTTTAAACCAAGCAGGAAGTGCAAAAGTACCACATTTCCTCCCCTGTTGAAGACAAAAAATAATTTTTTTGAAGTAAAAAACCCTTATTTCGATACTTTACATGGGATGTGAACTCTGCAGCTCCTCTAACTGTTAATTGAAGGCATGACCTCTTACCCTCCTGGCATAATTTCTGAGTTTATACCCAGAAAAGTAAGAACTGAATTTACCTCCATGTTTTCTGCACAACAAACAGTAATTACTTTGAACTAATACTACACATTTCGGCGCAGACATGATAATTACTGAGGTCTCTTTTGTTTCTAGCAAAAAATCCACATACCATCCCAGCTGCCCAGCGACTTACTTGCCAGAAGTTCCAAGACTTGGATCATAGAATGTTATGCCATGTTTCAGAGAACAGCAGAGGTCCATTAAGAAACTATGAACAAGCTCCCGTACCATCATTTTTCCCACCTCCTCAGAACCTTGAGCCACCTACAAAAACCRAAAAAGAATAAAAAAAGCATATGAGATTTGGCATCACAGACATCAACTTCACTCTTCATTTCATATAGCTCCTCTTAGAGAAAGGCTAAAAGATAGTTTGGCTTCTGTTCAGATTAAGAACAGAAGCTTCAGGACTTGAGGGTGCTTTCCTGTCCAAACCATTCTGTGATTCTGTGATTCCATGAACCTCCTACGTCCAGAACAACTCGAGATCTCTGTGGGTGAGAAGACTCTTGGCAACTGTGGCTGGGAAATCATGAACCATATGACTTACAAGSACTGTCAGGAACTGCAAGAACTTAAAATTATTCAGAACTGAAATGCATGCTTATGAATTGGGTCAGATCTGCACAGCTCCAAGCAGACACCCTCTAGAAGCAGTCTCCTCCAGAAGGTGCTCACAGTATATCAGGATGGGAGTGGCAGGGTCATAAGTGCCTGGTAGAGGAAACACAAGAGGGCAGACACAAAGGTGAAAAATCTTTAGCCAAAATCCAGTGAGAAGCAGCAGAAATTTGGAGGTTCTTCTTAAGTAGTCTCAGTAGATTCCTCTTCTTGAGCTCAGCAAGCTCAGGGCAACTAGGAGCTGTTTTAAAACCTGTGGGCTGCAAGAGGAGGCAAAAAAAAAAAAAATGCAGCATAAGGACTAAGAGTAACAAAGAAATAAATTACCAGACCTTTAAATCCCCAGGGCTGACGTCAGTAATCCCATTCCAACGGTACAGAGAAGCAATGTGAATCAACACTTCTGCAGTAAAAAAACGCACCTTCTGTGTTTTGGTGACATTTTTGTTGTGAACCACCTGGTAACAATGAGACAAAAACAAACCCTTCTATTTATTGCAAGTTATCACAAAATCATGGCAAAATAGCAAGACATTGGATTTTTCTAGCACACACAGGGCTGGTTCTTGTCTCTAGGGCAGACAAAAAGCTCTGCCTGTGCTGTCAACACTACTCTCACATGCTCCTGCTCCACCTTGGCCCTACACCAACCCCTGCAAACCCTGCACATGCTGGACAGGACAGACATTCACGTTCAGCTGAGAAGCACTGATTATGTTTTAGAGCATCATGGCCACAGAGCAGAACCATGGAATCTGGGGATAGACATGGTAAAGCCATGTTTGGATGAAAGGAAATACACACTGGARGAAGCTTCTCAGAAGTTCTTCTACTGTGTTTTACCACTGGCTTCCTTTAAAAGGCTTTGGAAAAGGAGAACAAACTTCAATTCTGAGACAGTWATACAGCCAAGGTACCAACCTCCAACACAGACACTGCAGAGCACACTGCCAGCAGCCCTAAGAACTGAACAYTGTGTGAGAAATCACTGCAGAACTGTTTCCAGCAGCGAGGAAAATAGAAAACACGAGATGACAGTTTCAAGGGTGTATCATACCTTAGTTCTCAGTGTGGAAAGTAGAAGATTGACAGTAGAAACTCTGTCTTCCTTTATTTCAGAGCGAAGAATACCTGGAATGAAATCTAAGAAGACAAAATGTGAAAGCTCTTTTTTTATTAAAATGTTTCAAGGAATTCATACCCTCTCCTCTTCCATGTCACATTATTTGTCTTGCTGTTATATTCCAAGATGAACCAAAAGGCAGCAATCAGAATTCAACAGGAGGATGTGTCTGTGACCACAGTGATGAGCAAGTGATGCTGCCAAACCTACTCTCATCTTGACTAGCTAATTTGCCAACTTGCTGATTAACACTGCTGTAAGCATCTGTCAACTGCAAATACATTCTGGGCCCTGAAATGTTGTACTAAAACTTAAGTAAATTCATATTCTTTCCATCAAAGCGCTTGCAAATGTTCAATTGTTTCACTGAGTGATTTTCAAATGTTTGGAGGTTCTATCTCCAACCACATCCATCATCTTTTGGCTCACCTGTGCATCCCAAAGTTACACAACCTCAGCTTATAGAGAACTTGGGGCTCTTACAGGGCAATGCAAAGCTTGGGGCTTTTACAGGGCAAAGCCAGCTGTAGAGGTGTGCAATCCCCAGCCTGAAAGAACTGAACAACTGCCAGCACCTAAAGGAAATCAGCAGCCCTGGGGCAGCAGGAGCAAGAGAATTAAATAATTACAGCCAGTTCTCAGTCCCTTGCCACAGGAGAAGCAACTTCCTACCAGCTAATGGCTTAAGAACTTCTTTTTGAACTTCTTCCTAGACCCCTTGTGAATTCTCTCAGAAATTTACCAAAGGTCACAATTCACAAGGCAGAAAGGYAACTGAAGTACACACATTCTTTAACACTTTTTAAAAAGAAAATTAATGCTACATATCCATTGTTACTGTCTTATGAGCTAGGGTGGAGGCCATGAGCTTTTTCTCTGTTTATTGACTTTTCAACCTCAAAGCCTTATGTYCTATTTATCTTTTCTTTAATCTGTGTCACCAAAGCCGTTCTATTTTTGCAAAGTTTTAGCAGGTAATATATCGTTCTCAAGCAGAAGAGGCTTCTTTACTACACTACTAAAGAAATTGAAAGCTTTTCAAGTAGTAAGATTAAAAATACATATTTTGCTTCTTATTAGTGCTCTCTACCTGATTCACATTTTTAATTAATTATTTTAAATCATATTTGTTAACACCTATAAATAATTGGACATTAAAAATGCAAACCCAACAAGCAGTTATGAAGTACCTTTCAATTCCAGCACCTGTGCCAAGATTGTATTGTCACCAGCAATGAGAAAGGAGAGAGCAAACTGAATGTAGGCTATGCGGACATCTATTCCCCCCTGACAACATAAAAATATAAATACAAAACAAAAGAATAATGTTAGCACACAGATTGTACCCAACTGCAGATTCAACACTGCAACTGCTGATTATCCCTAGAAGTGCCATAAATGAAACAACTTCTATAAACATGCTGCACATAGCTTTAAACATACATTTACATGCAATACATCCACACTGTGTGCTCAGCTAAAAAACTTCTTGCACTAAGGGAACCACTAACACAAAAAGTGCTTTTCAATTCTCAGGGGGAAGCAGGGACTCATGAAAGGGTTGAAAAGAAGAAATAATGAGAAAGAAACCAGATTTTGCTGTAAGCTTTGGGCCTGGAATTTTTGTGTTAAAAACTCACCTGTGATAGCCAGTTGAGCCAATTTCACTGAAAGCCTTGCAAGAGCAAGACCTTTTGGATGCTTGCTTCCATGTACCTTACGTGCACATCTAAAAGCCTTGGGGTAAAAAGACTACACCCAACCATTTAAAATTAAGAGTGGACGTAGTCCTGCAGACAACTTCTGCAGTGAGGTCAAACCCCAYGGAATTGGACAGGTCCGGAACCATAAAAAGCAGCTCCTGGGAAAAAGGGATGTGTGTGGTGTTTTGCCTTTCACTTGACTGCTTTATATAGAAAGTCTGAATTTTCATCTCAGAYGGCACAAACCCAACACAAACATACACATTCACTCTGCAAGTCATCTGTAAAATCTAGAAACAATATATCAGCGTTGAAAACAATACTGGATTTATTACACACTTATATTTGGAATGAGGCATAAATATTCCTGCTCTAAAGCACTGTTTTGGGTGGGTAATCCTGACTATTTTTAGCAAACAGGGAGGAAACAAGAAATTGTTTCTTCTGGAAAAAGAAGAGTGACTTTCCTCTTCACTCACATATTCTCCTTACAGATTTCCAGCACGAGATTGTTTAGAACCCTTGTTTGTATGTTCAAACGCAATTACTCCGTACTAGTAGGGCAATATTCCCACTCCAAATTCACTTATTTCAGTGGGACCAAACTGCAAAATATATGAACTAGTTTTCAGGAGTTTACTATCACTTTCAYTCTGTTTTAGACACTAGAAGGGCAGTTCATAGAAACAGTACATTTCTGTTTCTCCACAGCTTGTTGGAAACATGCAAATTCCATCTGTACAGTTAGGCACAATCAAGGACTTCAGTCTSACACAGGCCAGGAAATGAGAATTAAGTTCTTGCAGATGAAAATATRGCAAAGAAACATTAGCAACAGTTTTCTTCTAAACATTAGCTTAAGAAGCTGGTGGAGTCATGGCACAGCACTCTGTAGCACACTGCACCTTAATTTACCTTATTACTTCTTCTTTTCAACAATCCAGGCAGGTATTTGTTATTGAAATCAAAATGACTGTATACATCCCTTGCTGAATCTGGGCCCTGAGCCACCATTGCTGACAACAGCATAAGGCACCCTCGGCTCATCCTGAAATAAAAGCAGAGGTAAACCTGCAGATTATTTCCAGGATGATGRTTATACAACCCACCAAACCAAGAGATTAAAACTTTAAGAGAAAACAGAAGTGAAGTTAAACAACCAACATAATTATTTTAGGAGCTGGGAAAGAGGGGAGAGGGAAGAAGGGAGAAGGAAACACCTTTTCACATTCTTCCCTAAAATTAAGCTGTAATGTGAGGCTGGATATTCCCTTTATAAAGTAGTTAAAAAGTGAGGAAGTGCCAAAATTAACAACTTGAAGATGACCTGCTCATGGCAGTGGGGTTGGACTACCCTTAATTATTCTATGAACTCCTAAATTCATAGAGGTTTGCCATTTATTTCAATGGGAATATGCTAGGGCCAGCCAGTGGGTACATCATCTGAACAGCCACTACCCATTAACAGCTTTGTAATCTGTCCATCATGTTTCTGTCACGGACAATCTGTAAAAGCCACGTGATTCAAGAAGAGACCCCAACCAGACATACCACCAGAGTAAAGAAAATCCCGCTGCACATCGAAGAAGTTGCACAGATAATGCAGTAAGATCAACTGCACAGTGCAGGAAGCACAGCTGGGTCTGCCAACTGGGAAAGCATAGAAAGCTTTTCTGCTCAAAGACTGAAAGACAAGTCATTGGCCCTGGACAAGCCAATTTCAGTCTGTTTTTTTCTCTCCTTTCCTCTTCCTCCCCGGTTTGTACTGAAATGTCTCTGGCATTTGCAACTTCTTTCACCCTGTCCACAGGWGCATGAGAAATTGTTTGGTCTGGACTAGATAACACAGTTATCAAACAACCTAAAACAGCCTCAGATTTAAGAGACTGGAAAAATTACAGAAGAAAAGCCAGTCTGAAAGAGAAAAATCCATTATAAACATGGAAACCTGACTCCAAAAAATACAGGGAAATGAACCACTAAAGTGCAGCTCTTTTTGCCCTCACAAGAAGACTGCCCAGCCCTGTTCCTCACAGTATATTTCACCCATAAATTAGTAGCACTAAAATAACAGGACCCAAGGTACTACCCATGCTAGGTCTCACTAGGACAGGCCCAAATGATGAAACGTACAGCTTCAGGAAAGTATCCCACAGCATTGGATTGTTTGATGTATCATAGCTTCTACTTTGCAAAGACTTCCACAGGCAATTATTTTATGACAAATGGAACAGGATTATTAAATAAAGGTGGATTATTAGCAGTAAGTCAAGACGCATTTTGCAACATCTGGTGTAGTCTCTCCARATCAACTGAGAGAGATTCTCCACCAGAACACCAAAAAGACTTAACTTACCTGTGATTTTCAGAATACAAAGCAGCATAGACGATTTTCATATAGGAATGAATCAACTTTTTTACAATGTTCATTCCCACAACAGAAAAATGTGAGAGGTCACTGGCTGTCCTCAGTAAAATGGCTTCYAGAGCTTGAAAGATTAACAGTATCTGCAGGATAAAGAAGTATGTTAATATCTGACAACATCAGGTAAGATCTGAAATTCTTAGCTGAACAAACAGCAATAACCACATAAAAACAGTAACTCCACTCCAAGAGGAAAGCTTCCACATATGAAAGCAACATTAACTTCTAGATTCTCTCCCAAACCTCCTCTTTGAAAAGATTACTTCTGAGAGCACGGAATCAAGGAATCAATGCTTYAAGAGACAACTGCTCCTAAGTGGATGATGAGAAGTGAGATGTGCTGGAGAAAAACATCTGGGCTGTTCCAGCCTTGCAATTGACTCCTTCCAAAAGCACCCAGAATCCACAGAACATGGAGGCTGTGCCCATTACAAACATCAGCTCCTGACACTAGAAGGATCTTGAGGAAAGCCTGTCACTGAACACAACACAGGTTGCCATTACAGACAAAAATGATATTGTATAGCAATGACCAACAAGCCACGGTTAAAAAGAACACAWCCCAATTCTACATTGTAAGAAGTTAGCAATGCTGCACCAGCATCCACAGTGAAAAGTTATTTAACTGTTTGTTCATTCATCCTGTTCTGATGAGGATAAATTGTGTCCAGCTGAGATAAGAAAAATGTGGTCAGCTTTAYCAGTGGCTTCCTTGAAATACTGATGTAGCAGGGAGATAACTAAAAACAACTACTTTCACTGGACTGCTTCTGTTCTGCTTTCTAAACTGCTTCTGTTAACCCCCTTATTTCCTAAAAGGTCTTTTGATAACATTTAAAGAACCTTAACAGCTTGATTTGGACAGGACTATTGGTTGTGTGCCTCATTAAATCCAGGAACATCTATGAACTGAAAAGAGCATTTCCCACTTGGTAAGTGCTTCTGCCACTGCTACTTCCAGAAAAAAAAATCAAAACCGTATTAAATTATCAGTTATTTACACCACAAAGCATTTATTCACAGAACCATAGAATATCCTGAGTTGGAAGGGACCCAGRAKSATCTAGTCCAGTCCTGTCTGTCCAGGACACACTCCCCAACAATCCCAGCCTGTGCATCCCTGAGAGCGTTGTCCAAACGCTCCTGGAGYWCTGGCAGCCTTCGGACCATTCCCTGGAGACCTTTTGCAGGCTCTTTTCCAGGTGCGATTCTTGGGATTGTAGCCATCAGCCACTGCATTACAACCCCCCTGCCCAACTTACTTCACTTTCAGGCTTCCTTTCTCCATCTAGAAGCCTGAATATCTCAGCACACTCCATAGATATTTTCACGTATCCCTCCACGACATCGTACACGTGGGGCGACGGCAGCGTCTTGGCGACGGACACGAAGGTCTCCAGCCCTGCAAAGGCACAGCGTCAGCCGGGGCAGCAGCTCCGAGTGTGGGACCCGCTGCGGGC